AAATTGTCCATGAGAATATATACTCCCAAGAAAGAAGTTGCAAATATTCTGGCTTATCCTTGTCCTCCTCTGACATTACACACAGGAGTCCGCAGAAGCATGCACAGCTCTATGTGTTTTAAACAGCAGGCACCCCGTTAGGAGCTCTCCTGACATGGATCTGGGGCCCCCAGGAAGAGAACCAGGAGGAGGACAGGTGACCGGTGCCTTAGGGGTAGCACCTGTCGCCAGTCCTATGTGACCTATCTATGCCTGAACTACGGTGGGCTGACAGAGGGAATAGGACCTTATGCTCATGCCTGCTGTCTCAGTGTCACCCTTTTTTCTGACTATTTGGACAGGGGCAGGTGAGATGGCTCCTCCAAAAAGTTGCCAAGAAGGTGCTATCTGCCATATTGGAGTCAGATTGGACAGTGGTTGGCGTTTTTTCCTCACCAAAAGGCGGAGGGAGTGGACCTGGGGGAAGGGCAGGCGGGCATTTGTGGTGCAACAGTGCCATCCAGAGGAACTTGTTTGGCATCTTGCAGAGCTAGGGCTGGAGTTTCCTGGGGAGAAGTGACTTGGGAGTGTAGTCAAGGTCAAGCAGAGACAGGGGACAGGCATCCCCAGACAGATCAGATCTCTGAGGAGGCTAGTGGAAGAGTCGCCCATGGCGGGTTGGGCTGTGGAAGCACCAGGGACAGTCGGCAGGCTGAGGTTGGGCTGTGAAAGCACCAGGGACAGGCTGCCTATTGGAACTGTACAGGAAGTCCCATCTTGGGAGTTGGACGGGACTAGTGGAGCCTGTATTGGGGAACAAGGCCTCAAGGCTATGGGCAGCTTGTGTTCTGCCTCTTTCCCTGTTGTCATACTCACTTCAAGGTATCACTTGAGTGCATTCTTGCAGATAACTATTCTTACTGTTCCAGTCTCATTGCCAAGTGAGCAATTGTATGAGTCTATGCAGACATGTCCTTCCTCATTTACCTTGCCTAAAATTCACAAGAGCCTGAAGGCAATGACCAGGAATATCCCTTGTTTCCTGGTACCCTCTATATCGCTTGGTCTGAACCTTGTGCTTGCTCAGGGAGTTTGCAATCAACAAGATCTTGTGACACTGTGTAAATGTCATCATTGTTGGCTTAAGTCATGGTCTGCCCCTACTTTCCCATTTTTTTCTCTCTGTTGCTGTATCCACAGTCCCCTGTCTTCTTGAGTTTCTCAGATTCATCCCCATCAGTCAGACCTGCCAGGGCCAAAAATGATGTGAAATACTCCTGGGCACACAGGGCTCTCCATGGACCATTATGACCTATGGCCTGCTACTGGAGAACCACTGTCGTGGTCATACTCTGTGCCACTTGCCCCCTGCCTGTATCTGTGCTACCTGTTCAACGCTAGCCCAAGGATACTGTAGGCCCAGGAATGCACTCCTTTTTTTTTTATACTTATTGGATGGTTTCTAAAAATTATTGTAGGGCTCCAGTACTTCACACAAATGAGTTTCCTGAATTAATGCGCAGGCCATCCATATTCGCTGAGCCTTTGGGCCAACAGACCTATTTCTCTATTGATGAACTGATCAGGGTAAGGACCTAGAGGATGTGATCACACCCCCACCAAACACTGTGAGTATGTCGTTCTTGTTACAGCAAATGTTACAGTGGGTGGCTGCGTGGACAAACTGAGCCGCACATGGAGAGTGGAAAACCAAGGTTTCTTCACCACCAGGCTTAGAGGGGACTGGCCACCAAATTCTGAGCCCCATCTACCGGGTTTCTTCCACTTTTATTAGGTTAGGGTGGTCTAAGGAGTGGGGTCTCAGGTGGCTGATGCAGTAGGTAAGCATGACTGCAGATGCCAGGTGATAGGTTAGTATTAGGTAATGAGGGTCTCCCTTATCTGTCTCTGTGTGTCCATTAGTCCAGGCAATGATCTGGGAAAGCCAGACCCAGATAGCATACTCCTCCATATGTGTGACCCCTGGTATATTTATGGAGGCGAGTAACCAGGTCTAGCCACCGTAGGCCAGGGAACAGGGGACATTTGGAATATCCCCAACTGTAATGCATGAGCAACAGAGACCCGTGTCCCCCAGCTCCAGAGAACAGAGGCCACATTGACTTGTGGATCCCCAGAGGATGCTACCAAGGTCTGTGCAATGGGAGAAGATGCATAGCATGCCATCCTGTGGGGCCTGTGACACAGACTTTCTCTGACAGGAACGAAAGGAATCCCCCAGAACTTGGGAGTCTGTGCACCATGTTATCATTTCGTCTTTTGTTCTAGTACCCAAGAATGAGGATATTTATCCTTTCTATGAGAGACCGCCCATGACATTCTGGCACTGGGTCCTCCTCTTTACTCGGCTGGGCCTAGGTTTTCCAGATGGACTATTAAGTCTGGATTTCCCAGTGGCCTCAACTGCCCAGAAAGTGTCCCTCTTAATGCCCCAATGTTGCCCCTGTACCATCAGGAAGGACCAGTGCAAAATCCCCTGCAGTAGTTTCAGCTCCAGGTTCCCAAACATGGCGGCCGCCGAAAACTGGACTCCAGGCACTCCCCAGCCAGGCAGGCCTGACAGCCGGGGGCTCCTTGGTAGCACAGCATAATTATTCCTCTCTCTTAATAAAACAGGGGTCACCCTGTGGGGGTCCCTCAGTACAGCCCCAGAATTCGTCCATTTCCCCAAACTTACCCTTCTTCCTCTCAGAGGCCTCCCCTCAGTGTACACAAAGACAAGCTGGAAGCCATACTCAAAAAGATTCCACTTGGGGGCACTGTCGCTCCAGATATGCCCAAAATTTGTCCTCCTAAGCCTCTCCCTCCACCCTTTATAGGTGAAAAAACGCCAAAGAATGCTCAAAAGGGATTCAAGCCCTAAGAGTGGGCATTATTCTTTTCAGCTGTGTAGAAAAAAAGTGTGTCTTTTTTTCAGGCTCTTGGTGTGAATATAAATGTCTGTGTGAAAATGTTCAACCAAAGGTGTAGATATATCGATTTATCCGTCAATACATCATCATCTCTTAAGCTTTTAGCTAGAATTTACTATAATGACGTAGCCAGTTTTCTGGTCACAGCTGTGAGTATTATAAGGTTGCCCCTGAGGGAAAATTGACTCATAGCCTGGCATGTGCTGAGTATTTGGATTTCCCCTCTTAAGCTGCAGTCATTACCTGCATTCTGTCCTCAAGGATCCAGAGCTACTAGCCCCAAGGAGCCAACCAAGGGAAGCACATTCCAGGAACAAACTGCCTTAGGAGCAGTCTAGAGAAGGCCACATTGGGAGCAGCAGGAATTGACAGGAGCCATGTGACTTAACAAGACTGTAAGGATGTAGCCTTGGGTCACCTACAGGGACTGAAGTAGTCACTCCCCATTGAGTAGCCCAGATTGGGGTTCCAAGGCTCAGGAGAAGAACCCAGTGGTTTTACACAGGTAGGTGACTTCGGAAAGGGCCTTTGGTTGTGCAGCCCCTCGTCACAAACTCTACATGGAAGTGTGGCAGTGCTGTCCACCCACCCCACACATTCATGCATGTAATCATTCATACGTTGATACACACGCAAGCTCTCATCCCTAAATATGTCTATATATTTACCTTTTCCTTTTCGATATTCTTGCTCCTAGACAACGTTAGTAGTACCACTAGGGATAGAGGTTTTTTTCAGTTAAAGAGACAGCCCTTTCCATTGTGTGATGTGCAATCCAAAATCGTGCCTTTTGTATTAGCCGTTACCATCCCTCCCTAAAGTGAGAAGTAGATGCCAATTTTTTCCTGTGTGCTTGCTTCTTGTATCTTCTGCATATGAATCAAAATGTGGAAGTTTGTCTGCTTTTGGCCTTCTCTCTGACCCTGCAAAGCTGATATGGAATAAAACACACGTCCCCTGGCCTTTGCACATGTGTGCAGAGTCAACATCCAGCCAGATTATTTCCATTTCTCCCGTAACCACTGCCTGGGGTGATAGCAGCAGGATCATTTGTTTACCATGTCTCTTCATTTTGGACACTTGGTTTCTGTTGTCCTCCTTCCCATCTTCTTTTCTTTGAAAGAGATCAGACCTTGTTGTCTGGGTATTAAGTCCCAGTTCTGACAGAGTGAGAATGTGTGACTGACAGGTACGCGGAGTAGAGTCTCTGTCAACCCTGAAACCACGTCTTGAGTACATTGAGATGAAGCCACCCCCAAGAATGATTTGCCTTTATCCCTACTAAGTCATTGTGGTGGATCTGTGTGTAGCCAGACTGCAGATACCTGCTTTCCCATTCCTTTTCTAGCCAGATTAGCTTCCAATTCTTCAAGGGTGTGTTATTCCATTAGACTGAGGTGGAACAAACAGCTTCACTTGGAAATTTTGACATACACTTTTACATAGTCACACAGAGCAGATACCAGGAGAGAAGTTGTGTGAGTACAGACACCCAAGGTAGGCTGGTTATAGTTGTCAGTGAGCAGAAAGCCAAGAGTAAATTATGCCTTTTTTCAAAATACATAGTTCCCGGAGAGCTGCTGCTTTATTATAGCGCCAAATAACTTCATGCAATTGCCTAGAAATGAGTAGGGGTGATTTTTACTCTGTAATTTCTTTAGAAGTTTCAAAGAGACACTAGATAATTGTCTTTACCGATTCCTTGACCCTCTTCCTTTTTGTAGCCTCATGGGGATGAGTGGGATTGCAGTCAACAAAGTGTCCAACCAGGATGAAGGAAGGTGACACCTGCATATATACAGCTAAAGGTAAGGGGTAGACATGGCAAAAGCCACTTCACAGAAGTCTTCCTGGGCAGTTAGCTTTTTTGCATGGGTTTGGGGTATTCCCCTTTTTAATCAGTCCTGACACAGTAGTAAGATATCTATTAGAATACCCACTCATTTATGGGGAAGAGATGTAATCACTGTGCCTTATTCTTGTCCATATCTGATCTAACATATGCAAGTCCGCAGAAGCACGGGCACCTCTATGTGTTTTTCACAGCAGGCCTCCAGATAGGAGCTGTCTGGAAATGGACTTAGGAAGAAGGGGTGTCACCTGACTCTGTTCCTGTCTGACCTCATCCTGCCTGAACCACCCCACGCTTCCAGAGTGAGAAGGACCCTCTGTCCAGGGCTTAGAGTGTGTCCTGTCTCCTTGCTCCCCACCAGGTAACCTTGGGACTCTGCTCACACTTGACTTGGTCCTAAATCTGGCCTTGGACTGACCTGTGCGAGTGCCCACGTCTGAATGTTTCCTCACTGGCAAAGGCTGGGGTGCATCCAGCCCTGTATCTGCTCTGGATCTTGTCCCTGAGGGCTCAAGCGGTCCCCAGTGGTCACAGTGTAGGTGGGGATTGTGTTGGTTCCCATGCCTTGCTAGGAGGATTACAAGTGAACTCATTCCTTTGGGTCAGGAAGGCAGGTAAAGGGGACCCAAGTTAGGCCAGATACAGGGTGGTGGGGCAGATCCTACTCCACATGGGCAAGTGGGTGCTATCTGCCATGTTGGAGCCAGATTGGATAGTGGTTGGCGTTTTTTCCTCAGCCAAGGGCGGAGGGAGTGGACCTGGGGGAAGGGCAGGCAGGCATTTGTGGTGCAACAGTGCCATCCAGAGGAACTAGTTTGGCGCTCCCGCAAAGCCAGGCCTGGGGTTTCGTGGGGAGGAGTGGCTTGGGAGTGTAGTCAGGGTCCAGCAGGGACAGGGCACCAGACCCAGGACAGATCAGAGCTCTCTGGAGGCCTGGGGGAAGGGTGACCCGTTGTGGGTGCAGCATGTACCAGGGCCAGGTCGCAGGCCGAGGTAGACATCTAGCCGCCTGGCGAGCCTGTACAGGAAGTCCCATCTGGGGAGCCTGGTGGCGGCCATGTCTGGGTAGGACTATGAGAAGCCTGCACTGGGGGGGCTACAGTTTAGGGCTGTTTGTATGTATCCTTCTGATTCTTTGCCTTTTTGCCATACTGACTCCAAGTTGTGAGTGCATTCTTACAGAGGCCTCTCCTTAGCTTTGGAAGATTCATTTCCAAAGGAGAAATTGTCGGAGTATCTGCAGACTTCTCTTTAATAGGCTGGTTTGCCCAAAATCCCAAGAACATGAAGGCAATGCCCAAAAATATTCCTTGTTTTCTGGTTTGCTCTGCATGTCCTGGTCTCTTACCTGAGGTTGCCCAGGTACGTGTAATCAAGAATGCCCAGTGACCCTGTGTAAATGCACTACCCTTGGGTTCAGTGAGAGTCTCTGGCTCCTTTCCACACATTTTTTCCATTCTGCTTTATCCCAGCCCCCTTCCTCTGGGTATTTCCAAGATTCATCCCCATGAACCAGCCCTGCCAAAGCCAGAAACAATGTGCATAGTTCTGGGCACAGAGGACTAACTCGTACACCTTTACTACCTGTGGCCTGCTACTGGACAACCATTGTTGTAGGTCGTGCTATATGCCAGTTCCCACCTGCCTGCAGCTGTGCTACCTGTTCAGTGCTAGGCAACGGTTTGGAAAGAAGCCTCAAGGCCCAGCACTATACTCCTTTTCTTTCTTACCTACTGGATGGTTTCTAGAGTCTCCTGAGCAAGAATTCAGGAAGGTCATGAGTGTGAATTACCGGGGCACAAGGAATGGTCTCAAGTGTGCAAAGCCTTTCAGGACAATTGACCTTTCTCTCCACCAATCCACTCTTCAGGATATGAACCTACAGGATCTGATCATGCCCCAACCCACAGCTGTGAGTGTGGCCGTCTCTGTGTGCTCCATTGGCCTGGGCCATCGCTCTGGGACAGCCGGACTCACAGAAGATAGACCTCCTCATGTGTGAAGGCATGTGCCTTTCATGAGGGGATCAACTGGCTCCTATCAGTGGAGGGGAGGGATCAGGGCAACACTGGAATGTCCCCCAACTATAGTCTATGAGCAATGCGGACCCAGGTCACCCAACTGCAGGGTATGAGGGCCGACTTAGCCTGTGGATGCCCAGTGGGTGCCGCCACGCTCTGTACAACAGGAGATCCTGCACAGGTTGGCATGGTGTGTGGTCTGTGACCCAGAGTTTCTTTGACAGGAGCGAGAGGAAATCATCCAAAAATGAACTGCCATGCACCTGTGCAACCTTTTCTTGCTTTGTTTTAGTACCCAGTACTCAGGGAATTGATCCTGTCTACAAGAGAGTGTCCCTGAATTTGTGGCTGTGTTACCGAAAACTCAGCACTTGTCCATGAGGCAGAATCAGAACAAGGACAGGTCTTTCCAGTGATCAGGAAAGAGATTCATTTTCTTGTGAACAAAGGGAGGAAAAAAGGCAGGCTATCATCTCAAAATCCACATGTTCCAAAATATAAGCAGAAACACAGAGCTTTTAATGGATGGTTTTCATTCACACCTAGTGGGTGTGGTGCACACTGTCTGGGGTACGCACACGCCTAATGCTCTGATTTGGGCCGGGCAAAGGCAATATATGTAATCTAAACATTTAAACCCCTGTAGTATGCTAAAAAAAAAAAAAAAAAACAAACCAAAAAAAAAACCCAGAATCACTTTCTCTGCTTCAGGCAATTACTATAGTTAAGTATGCTAATCCTCCCATCTCTGCCAAAGACAAAGCCTTGATACTTGCCATGACCCCACCTGGGAGGGATAGCACCAGGTGGCAGTTATTACTTTTAGCAAAACACTTAATCTGCCAAGCTACAGTTCCTAAAAAGAGTGGTGGAAAGCTTTAAAGACACATAAAACCCTGTTTTTTTTGTTTCCTGGCCAAACCCTGTTACTTATTCACCACTCTCAAATTTACCTTTCCATACCTATGGGAGTAGGTTCCACTACTCTATTACAGGTGCTGGCCCCTCTTTCCATAGCTGGGCCTAGGTTTTCCAGATGTACCCTTAGGTCCCGATTTCCCAGTGGCCCCCACTGCCAGGAAAGTGTCCCTCTTAATGCCCCAGTGTTGCCCCTGTACCAGCAGGAAAGATCCCACAACAAATCCCCTATGGTAGTTACACCTTCAGGTTCCCAAACATGGCAGATGCCAAGGACTGGACTACAGGGACTCTTGAGCCTGGCAGCCAGGGACTCATGGTTTCCCAGCCTGACTCCTTTCCTTTCTCATTAAACTTGGTGTCACCCAGTGGGGTCCACAAGTGCAGCCCCAGAACTTGCCGATTTCCCCAAACTTATGCTTCCTTCTCTCAGAGGCCTCCCCTCCGTGTACAAACAGACTAGCTGGAAGCCATACTCAAAAAGATTCCGCTTGGTGGCACTGTCGCTCCAGAAATGCCCACGTTTTATCCTCCCAGGCCTCTCCCTCCACCCTTTATAGGTGAAAAAACACCAAAGAATGCTCAAAAGGGATTCAAGCCCTAAGAGTGGGGTTTATTCTTTGTAGGTATTCAGGTAAAAGGTGTGTCTTTTTTTCAGGCTCTAGGTGTGGAATATAAATGTCTGTGTGAAAATGTTCATCCGAAGGTGTAGATGTATCGATTTATCCATCAATACATCATCTCCTCATAAGGTTTGAGCCAGAATTTACTATATTTGAAGTAGCCAGTTTTCTGGTCACACCTGTGGGTATTATATTGTTTCTCCTGAGTAGGTGGGTTGTTCCTAAGGAAATATTGACTCATTGCCTGAAATGGGCTGAGTATCTGGATTTCCCCTCTTAAGCTGCAGTCATTACCTGCATTCTGTTCTCAGGGAGCCAGGGCTACTAGCCCCAAGGAGCCAACCAAGCCAAGCACAGTCCAGGAGCAAATTGCTTTAGGAACAGTCCAGAGAAAGAGTAGCAGTAGGGCACTGTGGGAGCAGCAAGAATTGACAGGGGCCATGTGAGGGGACAAGACTCTAAGGATGTAGCCCTGGGTCACCCTCAGTGACTCAGGTAGTCACTCCCAATTTAGTAGCCCAGATTGGAGTTCCAAGGCTCAGGAGGGGAACCTCGTGGTTCCACACATGTCGGAGACCTCAGAAAGGGTCTTTGGTTCTGCAGCCCCTCGTTGCAAACTCTACATGGAAGTGTGGCTGTGCTGTTCACTCACCCCACACATTCATGCATGCAAACATTCATGCATGCATACACACACAAACTGTCTTCCCAAAATATGTGTACATTTTTCCCTTTTCCTTTTCGATATTCATTGTCCAGTGACAACCTTGGGAATACCACTGTGGATAGAGATTTCTCCCAGTTAAAGAGACAGCCCATTCTATTGTGTGATGTACAATCCCAAATTGTGTTTGTCTTCTACTCCTCTTACCATCCCTCCCTAAAGTGAGAAGTAGATCCCAATTTTCTCCTGTGTGTTTGCATCTTGTGTCTCAGGCAGATGAGTGTACATGTGGAAGTTTGTCTGCTTTCAGCCTTCTCTCTGACCCCACCAGGCTGATATGGAATAAAACACACATTCCTTGGCCTTTGTACATGTGTGCAGAGTCAACATCCAGCCAGATCCTTTCCATTTCCCCTGTAACAACTAATGGGGGTGATACCAGCAGGGTCATTTGTTTACCGTGTCTCTTCATTTTGGACACTTGGTTTCAGTTTTCCTCATTCCTATCTTCTTTTCTTTAAGAGGTCTGACCTTGTGTCTGGGTATTAAGTCCCAGTTCTGACAGGGTGAGGATGTGTGACTGACAGGTACATGGAGTAGTGTCTCTGTCCACCCTGAAACCAGCTGCTGAGTACATTGAGATACACAAGACTCCAAGAATGATTTGCCTTCATCCCTACTAAGTCATTGTGGTGGATATGTGTGCAGCCAGACTGCAGATACCTGCTTCCCGTTCCTTTTCTAGCCAGATGAGCTACCAGTCCATCTAGGGTGCATTACTCCATTGATATGAGGTTAGGAAAAAGCCTCAGTTGGAGATTTTGACATATACTTCTCTGTAGGCACACAGTACAAATACCAGGAGAGAAGTTGTCTGAGTCCAGACGCCCAAGGTAGGCTGGTTGTAGTTGTCAATGAACAGAAAGCTAAGGGTAAAGTCTCCCTTATTTCAAAATATACAGTTCCGGAAGAGCTGCTGCTTTATTATAGCCCCCAATGACTTCATGCAATTGCCTCGAAATGAGTAGGTTGACTTTTACTCTGTAATTTCTGTAGAAGTCAAAGATGACCCTACAGAATTTTCTGTACCGATTCTATGTCCCCCTTCTTTTTTGTAGCATCAAGGGGATGAGTAGCATTGGAGTCAGCACAGTGTCCAACCAGGATGAAGGACAGGGCCACCTGAAGATACAGAACTAAAGGTAAGGGGAGACATGGCCCACGGCCAGTTCAGAGAAGTCATCCCGGACATTTTGAGTTTTTGCGTGTGTTTGGGGTATTCCCCTTTTTAATCAGTCCTGACACAGTAACAGATATCTATTAGAATACGCACCCATTTCTGGGGAATTAAATGTAAAAACTCTGCCTCCTCCTTTTCCTTGTCCATGTCTGGACTAACATATGCAAGTCTGCAGAAGCACATACACCTCTATGTGTTCTTCAAAGCAGGCCTCCAGGTACGAACTCTCTGGACATGGATCTGGGCTCCGGGTGAGGAGAATTGGTGTCTTAGGGGTGGCACCTGGCTCTGTTCCTGTCTGACCTAGCCATGCCTGTACCACCATGGGCTGCCATAGTGAGAAGGGCCCTCTGTCCAGGACTTAGAATGTGTCTTGCCTCGTTGCTCCCTGCAGATAACTCTGGGACACTAGTCACCTTTGTCCTGGTCATCAAACTGGCCTTGGACTGACCTGTGAGAGCACCCACGACAAAATGTCTCCTGGCCAGCAGGGGCTGGGATTGGTACCAGCCCTGTGCCCAGTGTGGATCTTGGCCCTCACATAGCACCCAGTGTCATGGCATAGGTTGGCATTGGGTAGGTTCCAGTGCGTTGCTAGGGAGACTTCAGGTGGACTCTTCTCTTTTGGTCAGGAAGGCAGGTGAAGGGGACCCTAGTGAGGCCAGGCTCAGGGCTGTGGGACAACTCCTTCTCCACATGGGTGAGAGAGTGCTGTTCGCCATGTTGGAGCCAGATTGGACAGTGGTTGGCGTTTTTTCCTCAGCCAAGGGCGGAGGGAGTGGACCTGGGGAAGAGCAGGCAGGCATTTTTGTTGCAACAGTGCCATCCAGAGGAAACTGTTTTGCGCTCCCCCGAAGCCAGGCCTGGTATTTCCTGAGGAGGAGTGGCTTGGGAGTGCAGTGGGGGTCCAGCAGGGACAGGGGACGGTACCCAGAACAGATTAGAACTCTCTGGGGGCCTTGGGTGGCCCGTGGCGTGTCAGGCTATGGATGCACCAGGGCCAGGTGGCAGGCCGAGGTGGACAGCCAGCCACCTGGCGGACTTGTACAGGAAGTCCCGGCTGCTGAGCCTGGTGGCGGCCATGTCTTGGCGTTACTAGCAGGAGCCTGCACCAGGGATCCAGGACTCTGGGCTGGAAGCTCAGGACCCAGGGCTGTGGGCAGCTTCCCTAGTGCCCCTCCCCTTAGGAGCAAGGATCGGTACAGCCTAGATGGCTCCATGTTTACAATGTACCCCAGTGAAGAACCATTGGTCTCCTAGTGATCTTCAGCCATTGGCCACTGTGGTAGCCCGAGCTGAGATGTTCCTTTCTCTTTGTTAGAAGACAGATTTGCCAGGCATGGTGGCACTCCACCAGGCTCACACTCAGATTGTCACTAGAGTACACCTCGGCTCCCATTTTCTGTTATGTCTATTTCCAAAATCACTGGGCAGTTGCCTTGGAACCAGGCCACTCACCCCTGTCAGTATTTTATGCCTCCGACCCTCCCTCATTTGTGTGCTCTGAGCATACCAGGACCTTCTCTCTGACATCAGGAGTGGAAAAATGGCTGCGGTGACAAACTTTTTGGACAAAGGGGACTCTAAGTTTCCACTGGCCAAGAGGGACGTACCTAAACAATCTGAAGCGCAGGAAGCCAAGTGCCTGCAGAAGGTCAAAGTATTGGCTTTGGTCCAGGGAAAGACTGCTGTGTGGCAGAAGGGACAGGCAGGGCAGGCTCAGGTGCCATGGAAAATGGTGGTGGGCCCTGGCGCCTTCACCCTTGCATTTAACTCCACATCCTTACATGGCCCCATGGGCAGCATCAGGCTCAGTGGGACTTGGATTGCAGGGGTAGAGCTAGGAGTGTATGTCCCTTTACAAGATGCCATCTAGAAAGGCAGAGGCTCTGGCCATTGTCTTGTGTTTTCTTCTCCTTCCTAGAACTTGAATAACCAGTTTTTCATGGAAGAAAGGTGCTTTTCCAAGCAGGGTTTGCTAAACCCCACTTTGTGTAATTCAAGAGTGGGAAGGGACCCAGGAGACCCTCCTGGGGTCACAAGTGGGATGTCTTTCTCAAGGGAGGGAGAGAATGCAGGCAGAGTGAAGTGTTGGGCCTCCAAGGCCTGACTTTTTGGGAGAAGGGTGTATATTGGAGTGAGGACTTGCCACCAAGTTCTGAGCCCCATGTGTGGGATTTCCACCAATTTTATTAGGTTAGGGTGGTCTAAGGAGTGGGGTCTCGGTGGTGTATGCACTATGTAAGCATGACTGCGGAAGCCAGGTGATAGGTTAGTATTAGGTAATTAGAATCTCCCTTATCAGTCTCTGTGTGCTCCATTAGCCCACTCAGTGCTCTGGGAAACTCAGACTCAGAGAACATACTCCTCCATATGTGTCACCTGGGGTATATTTCCGGGGTGAGTTCCCAGGTGATCCCACTGGAGGCCCGGGAATAGGGGATGTTTGCAATGTTCCCCAACTGTAATGCATGAGCTATACAGACCCGTGTCCCCCAGCTCCTGAGAACGGAGGCCACGTTGACTTGTGGATTCCCAGTGGATGCCACCATGCTCTGTGCAGTGGGAGAAGATGCATAGCATGCCATCCTGTGGGGCCTGTGATGCAGACTTTCTCTGACAGGAAGGAAAGGAATCAATCAGAACTTGAGGGGACCATGCACTTCTTATTTTCTTCTAGTATCCAGTAATCAGGACATTTATCCTTTCTACAAGAGACTGCCCATGACATTCTGGTGCTGGCTCCTCTTCTTTACTCGGCTGGGCCCAAGTTTTCCAGATGGACCATTAGGTCCGGATTTCCCAGTCACCCCGACTGTCAGGAAAGTGTCCCTCTTAATGCCCCAATGTTGTCCCTCTACCAGCAGGAAAGATCCGGAGGCAAATCCCCTGTGGTAGTTTCAGCTCAAAGTTCCCAAACATGGCGGCCGCCGAGGACTGGACTGCAGGGACTCCTGACCTGGCAGGCCTGATAGTCAAGGGCTCCTTGGTAGCCAAGCCTGACTCCTCTCTCTCTCATTAATCCTGGCGTCACCCAGTGGGGTCCGCAGGTGCAGCCCCAGAATTCCCCCATTTCCCCAAACTTACCCTTCCACCTCTCTGAGGCCTTCCCTCAGTGTACACAGAGACTAGCTGGAAGTTATACATAAAAAGTTTCCGCTTGGGGGCACTGTTGCTCCAGAAATGCCCCCTGTTTGGCCTGCCAGGCCTCTCCCTCCACCTTTTGTAGGTGAAAAAACGCCAAAGAATGTTCAAAATGGATTCAAGCCCTAAGAGTAGGGTTTATGCTTTTCAGGTGTTGAGAAAAAGGTGGGTCTTTGTTTCAGGCTCTAGTTATGGAATATAAATGTCTGTGTGAAAATGTTCATCGAAAGTGTGAACTAAAATAAAATTTTAAGGCTCATCCCCCACCGACTGACCCAATGGACCCCCTGGTGGTCAAAGGAATATCCTAAAACTAAGTTTTCTGCCAAGAGGAAAGAAGTCAGACATGCCTCTTTATGCCCCACTTCCGTCTTGGAAACAGCCTTTGTGACCCATTGACTGGACTAAGGGTTTGCAAGAGAAACCTGCAGGTCCCCAATTTACACAACAAATCTGTGTCCAGTGGCTTACCTCTGATAACAATTCCTTATGTTAAAACATTCTAAGCCTTTAGAGAAAGCTTCAAGTCTTTAACCAATTACAAGCCAAAGAATCTTTAAACCCACCTATAACCTGTAAGCCACCCCCCCTTTCAAGAAGTCCCACCTTTTTGGGCCAAGCCAATGTATGCCTCCCACGTATTGATTGATGACTTTACCTGTAACACTGCCTCCCTGAAATGTATAAAACCAAACTGTAACCCAACCACAGGGAGTCTACTTGCTCAAGGCTTCTTGGGAGTACCTGTGGTCATGGTCCTCAAATTTGGGTAAAAATAAACCTCTTTAAAATTATATTACAGAGTTTGGCTTTTTTTCCATCCACAATTTTGGTGTAGATGGCAGGATCTCAGAGAAGACTCAGGACCACCAGGCACTTGCATGGCCCTTTTATGCCCTTGGACTTCCAAGCTTCTCCTTTGGCGAAACTGGTAAGTCTTCCTGCCTGGACCTCCCGTTTTTTGGTTGATGGTCTTGGTTTATTCTGAGCTGGTTCTTTTCCTAGTAATTGTTCTTTGGGATTCTAACTTAGATTTGGAGGTGTATTCTAAAGGGTCTTCTCTATTGTCTTTTTATCCTAAAATTAATCTCAATTGGCTTTTCTGTGCAGTTTTAAAAGAGGAAACTGAACCGTTCTTGTTTTGGGAAAAATGAGAGACTGAGTTCCTCAGCTCCAAAGAGAAGGGGCATCTTGCTCCTCCCAACCTTGGCCACTCTGGGTTACTGGGGCCCTGAGTGGGAGTTACCTGGGGCGATTCCCTGAGGCCCGAGTGGCCCTACAGGGAACCCCCTAACAAATTAATTTTAAATAGGCTCCTCTAGGAAAGGCATATAAGAGCTGATTACTGGGCGTTTTGAGCCCTCTGGGAGGTACTAAACGCCCAAGAGAGAAACGGAAACATTGAGGAGCCCCACCCACAATCAGCACACTCTGATCCAAGACACCAAACCGTATATTACAGTTTGGTTGCTTCTTTTAAAGAAAAATTGGAAATCCCTTAAAAATGAGGAAGGACAAGGAGAATGACCCCCATTGGGCACCCCAGTTGGTTTATGACGCCTCTACTTGCAAGTGTTTTTGTAAATAAAAAGATTCAAAGGCATGCCAGGTTTTTTAGGGCTCCAGCTGGTTATAGCTCTTGTGCTCACGTTTTTACGAAAGGGCAAATTACATCAAGAAAAATTCAGAGCTGAAATGGTCAATATTTACAATTGAAAGGCTACTTGGAGAGCTTATAGCCAAAATGCAAGCATTGAAAACTCATTTTGAACTGAAGAATTAAAAAGAAGTAAAGGTTTTTAAAAATCAAACTGCCATGGAAACGGCTTTACTCAAAACTTTGATCCACAGGCCTGATTAGGTTACCTATCAGGGCAACTAAAGTTTGCCATGTGAAGTTCCAGTCTCATCAGAAGAAATTTAGATCCAGCTGTCTTTTACAGACTGGTGAGTTTGCGTTACCATTTCATGGCTAGAGTTCTAGCATAAAAATCTATTAAAATGTTGTGTGCATGTATGTGTGTGAGAGAGTGTATGTTTGGATATGTTTTGTGTCTGTCCATGTATTACATGTTAGTGCTTACTTGGCTCCGGAGTGGCTTAAAAATAAGGGAGCACTCATAAAATTAAACCCAAATGCTTCTCGTGAATTTAGTAATCTTTGGTAAATAAGCTGGGTTATTATTAAAAAATAAAAAGGTTATTATTAAAGTAATAGTAAAAATGCTTTCAAATTATCAGCATACATTTGTTTTTGCCTGGGTTTTACTGGACATTTTTATGTTCTTGAGGTGTCAAGATTTGATATAAAGGTTATAAAAATATAAACTTAGCCAAAGACAAAATAATGTGTGATTTTTGGTAAGTAAAGTAAATTTAATATTTGGTCTAACGATAATCACTAAATCTGAATTCCAACAAAAATACCTATGTGTTTAACTTTAAGATAAAAATGCAAATGTGCCTAAGTATCAGCAAATTAGAATAAATAAAATACCAAGTAAACAAAAACAAAAAATAAACTTTATTTATTTATTTTTTTGAGACAGAGTCTCACTTTATTTTATTGCCCAGGCTAGAGTGAGTGTCATGGCGTCAGCCTAGCTCACAACAACCTCAAACTCCTGGGCTCAAGCAATCCTGCTGCCTCAGCCTCCCAAGTAGCTGGGACTACAGGCATGCACCACCATGCCCGGCTAATTTTTTCTATATATATTAATTGGCCAATTAATTTCTTTCTATTTATAATAGAGACTGGGTCTCACTCTTGCTCAGGCTGGTTTGGAACTCCTGACCTTGAGCAATCCGCCCACCTTGGCCTCCCAGAGTGCTAGGATTACAAGCCTGAGCCACCAGGCCTGGCCACAAAAAATGAACTTAATGGTCGAAGGTTTATAAAAACATTTTGGTTTTGGTCTTTTAATCCTAACTATAGATATAGTTTACTTCCACCAATTCAATGCCTGTAGAGAGGTACACAAAAGTTGTCTCTAACTCATTATCATTTAATATTAACAATACTGTTAGAGATTCAAAGTTGTCCTAAAAGTCTTAGTTAGAAAAACTTAAATTGAAATCTTTAGTTTTCCCTTAGTCTTGTCCCTTTTTGTCCTACTCTTTACAAGCTAGCCAGTTATGTGTACATTATGTACTATAACAATGTTTTTGTCTAAGAAAAAATTTCTAAATTAATAATTTTTATATAGTAATTTATTTTAATATAAAAAGTAAATGATGGTTAAAATCCACGAGAATCTCAAAGCAGTCTTATTCTTTACAAATATTGCATGTACTAAAGTTCACACCCCAAAAAATTGTTTTGAAACTTTTTAGATTGTTTTTTAAAACAGCTTAATCTTGATCCTCATGTAAAAAGCATGTTACCACTTTGTATCATTGTTTGAGGTGCTAAGGATTGGTGCTAAAAGTTTTTTTTCCCCTCAGTCTACAGTCAGGTGATCTATGTTGATGGGATTCAAAAAACTAACTTAAAGTCTTCAGAATCAAAATGTTCTGACCTTGCCTGCCTCTTGTACCAATTCTTCCCTGAAGCTAGCCATAAGACCTAAAATTATTCTATGTAAAATGGCCAAAATGTAATTATCTGACCTACTTTGATTTTACTTTGTTTTACTATAAAACCCCATATCAGAAAGGGCCTTGCCCTACACCCAGAAAGAAAAAAATGCACACTCAAGAGGCCAAGCAGAATCTAAATATAAAAAGCCTTGCTGGTTCCGCCACTAAGCCTGTTAAAATTAGCTCGTACCCTTTTTGTCCAATCATATTTCTACACAGCTGTCCATCTTTAAACATAAAAAAATAGACAATTTCCCCTGCATCTTTGAGTATTCATTCTAAAGGTGCCCATGTATAAGTTTAATTCTTTCTCCTGTTAATCCTATTAATCTTAGTAGATTTTCAGCAAGCCTTTATGGGAACAGTGACCTTTGTTCCCAAACTTTGGGGGCCAGAGACACTTTAAGCCCTGTGATGTTTTGGAAAGAGCTCATTAACTAATACCTTTAAACAAGATATTCTAAAGTGACTACTATGTTTATAAAATTTAAAAGTAATGTTATATTTGTTTAAAATAAGACTTGGGGGGGAGGGGGGAAAAGGCATTTATTGAAACCTTAAAATCTGTACCCCCATCATATGCCGAAATAAAAAAAAAAGAAGTCTTATTAAAATACTTATTTATTTTTTCTTGGTAAGATTTATAAGTTTATATTTTGAGCCCTGTTCTATGTTATATGTATCTAATTTACAGTGTATAAAAATGATTAACAAAAAGTAACTTAAACTAATAGCTGAAATCTAAGTAAACTGCTAAGATAAATAAATAAATAAGATAAATTAGGTAAATATAAATCAAATAAATACAAATAAAGTTTTCATGTAATTTAAAATCTTAAAGTCATTATGTTAAGTTAAAAAAAGATAATCATAAAATATCTGGGTCATTTATAAGATATAATACTAAAACATTAATACTTAAACATAAGTTTAAGCTTATACCTTGATATCTTATCTTTATATTCAAAAATACTAATAAGATTGGTGACTAATAGTTCAAAGTTACTTTAACTTCCTAGGTTTTTTCTAAGTGTTGACATTATGATTAGTATATGTAATTAAAACTTCTAGATAAAAACAAAAAGAATTCTATATAAAAATTTTTAATAAGCCGGGCGCGGTGGCTCACGCCTGTAATCCTAGCTCTCTGGGAGGCTGAGGCGGGCGGATTGCTCAAGGTCAGGAGTTCGAAACCAGCCTGAGCAAGAGTGAGACCCCGTCTCTACTATAAATAGAAAGAAATTAATTGGCCAACTAATATATATACAAAAAATTAGCCGGGCATGGTGGCGCATGCCTGTAGTCCCAGCTACTTGGGAGGCTGAGGCAGCAGGATTGCTTGAGCCAGGAGTTTGAGGTTGCTGTGAGCTAGGCTGACGCCATGGCACTCACTCTAGCCTGGGCAACAAAGCGAGACTCTGTCTCAAAAAAAAAAAAAAAAAAAAATTTTTAATAAAAATGTTATAAGCCATAAGTATTAGTTTTGTTAAAAGACAATTTTGTTTAATTTATTGATTTTTAAAACTACTTATTCAATATATAAATGATCATTAAAAAATAAGTAGATATAAAAGTTAAAGGTTATAAGGTTCATAAAAGTCTTAACTTACAGTCAAATTGGTTAAAATTAGATGGATTTGTTTATAAGATTTTATCATTAACTTTATCATTAACACATTAATACAATAAAATTTGGTTTTCTCTTTTAAACTAAATTGTCATATAATTAATAGAAATAACAAAAGATTTTTATCCACTTATTAATAAACCACACAAAAAACAAGAGATTCAGCCTCCTTATTAACTTATACTTCAGTCTGTCTATTAGGTCTTATACTTGTTTAAAAAACTGAGTCTCTTTTCAAAGATTTAAGATTTTTCTGTTTAAAAAATATATATATATTTAAAATATCAGTTTGGCTATAATTTTATAATAACCTACAATCTTGCTTCATGGAGACAAGTGTCTTATGATAAACAATTCATGACTTCCTACTTTTTAAGCTTTCACTAAAGTTTAAAGTTACTAAAAATAAAAATTCTAGTCAATGCATGTAATTCTCTAAGTATACCAAAAAATAAAATTATCTAATAAAAAATTATAAAATAAAATGTATTCTTAATAAAATATATAAAACCTTGTCTAATTCAGAGGTTATTTAAAGGTTAAATCAAAAAAATTTTTTTAAAAGAAAAACAAAATTCCACTCGTAAATAAAAAAATGATGTAAAAAGACAGTAAATACAAAAATATATTTTTGGTAAAAAAAAGGTTAAACAAAGACAATAATATAAAAAAAGACCTTGCATAAAATTTTTGTCCTAAAGTGACTGGTTATTTAAAAATATATATTAAGACAAAACAAAAGGTTTTAAGATATATTTTGTAGATAGTATATGGTATGTGCAGGTTGGGATAAAGTTTTATTAAATTTTGGCTAAAACAAAACTTTCTGTCAATAAAATGACATGTTGTACTCATTTTGATTCTGTAACATGTTTCGTTTTTAATTGAAATTATCACTACAAAAGGTTTTTCTTTAATTTTGGTTACTGACTTAGAAAAAGAAAAGATGTTATACTTTATCAGATAATCCCTGTACTCTCTTTATTACGTTTGACTAAAAAACTAAACTTTAAAAGGGTTAAGTTCACCTATATAACTTTATCACCTTTAAAGTCTTTTAATGACTACCTCTCTTGGTTAAATAAATGACCCTTATTTTATAGTGGTTTGTGATTATATATAAACAGATGTTTTAAGTCTTTGATATTTGACAACCTTTCCAAAACTTAACTTCTAGATCCAGCCTTTTGACCTTAAACTAGCTTTTTATATATTAGGGCCACTAAAAGTCTAAAACAAACATCAGATTTATTTAATATGTCAAAACCATACAAAAAACATGGTCAAATATAAAATGGTGTTTAACTTTCTTTGAGCTGTGCTTATTATGTGATTAATATATATTCCAATATTATAAAATATTGACATCTTTTGTATGTGTTATCAGTAATAATTATGGTTATAAAATTGCTATATGTCACAAAATAACCAATTTGGTTTGTCAATTTTCTCTAACCATGGCTGGTCCAAGTTTTATCATCCTTTAAAAATTATTTTACTTTGATTCATCTCAAAAAGTAGTTCTTTCTGGCTGACGTTGTGTATGCGTTAAACTCCCAGTTCTGACAGGGAGAGGATGTGTGATTGAGAGGTACATGGAGTAGTGTCTCTGTCCACCCTGAAACCAGCTCCTGAGTACATTGGGACATAACCAGCCCCGAGAAGGATTTGCTGTCATCCCTAGAAAGTCCGTGCGGTTTATCTCTGTGCAGCCAGATTATAGATACCTGCTTCCCGTTCCTTTTCTTTTCTTTTCTCTTCTCTTCTCTTCTCTCCTCTCCTCTCCTCTCCTCTCCTCTCCTCTCCTCTCCCTCCTCCTCCCCTCCTCTCCTCCCCTCCTCCTCCTCTCTCCCTCCCCTCCTCCCTCCTCCTCCTTTTTTTTTTTTTTGGAGACAGAGTCTCGCTTTGTTGTCCAGGCTAGAGTGAGTGCCATGGCGTCAGCCTAGCTCACAGCAACCTCAAACTCCTGGGCTCCAGTGATCCTTCTGCCTCAGCCTCCCGGGTAGCTGGGACTACAGGCATGCGCGCCAGCCCGCCGGCTAATTTTTTATATATATATCAGTTGGCCAATTAATTTCTTTCTATTTATAGTAGAGACGGGGTCTCGCTCTTGCTCAGGCTGGTTTTGAACTCCTGACATTGAGCAATCCGCCCGCCTCGGCCTCCCAAGAGCTAGGATTACAGGCGTGAGCCACAGCGCCCGGCCTCCCGTTCCTTTTCTAGCCACATTAGCTACAGGTCCTTCGAGGGTATGTTATTCGATTAATATGACGTGCTCCTAGGAAACAGCCTCAGTTGGATATTTTGACATATACTTCTCCATAGTCACACAGTACAGATACCAGCAGAGAAGTCGTGTGAGGATAGACGCCCAAGGTAGGCTGGTTATAGTTGTCAATGAACACAAAGCCAAGGATAAATTCTACCTTTTTTCAACATACATCGTTCCAGGAGAGCTGCTTCTTTATTACAGCCCCAAATGACTTCATGCAATTGCCTAGAAATGAGTAGGGTTGATTTTTACTCTGTAATTTCTGTTGAAGTCAAAGATGACCCTACAGAATTGTCTTTACCAATTCCATGTCCCCCTTCTTTTTTGTAGCCTCATGGGGATGAGTGGGATTGCAGTCAACACAGAGTCCAATCAGGATGAAAGAAAGACGGTGCCACCTGCAGATACAGAGCTAAAGGTAAGGGGGAGACATGAAAGATCGCCACTTCAGAGAATTCTTCCCGGGAAATTTGCATTTTTGCATGGGTTTGGGGTATTCCCCTTTTTAATCAGTCCTGACACAATAATAGTTAACATATGTCTTACAATACGCAACCATTTATGGGGAAGAAAATGTAATCAATTCTGCCTTGTCCTTGTCCACATCTGGCCTAACATATGCCAGTCTGCAAAAGCACACACACCTCTATGTGCTTTGCACGTTAGGCGTCCAGGTAATAGCTATCTGGGGATGGACATAGGGCTGGCAAAAGGAGAATTGTCAGAGTGTCTCCTGGCTAGCAGGTGCTGGGGTTGGGACCAGCCCTGTGCCCAGTGTGGATCTTGGCCCTCACATAGCACACAGTGGTCACGGCTTAGATCGGCATTGGGTAGGTTCCACTGCATTGCTAGGGGGACTGCAGGTGGACTCTTCCCTTTTGGTCAGGAAGGCAGGTGAAGGGGACCCTAGTGAGGCCAGGCTCAGGGCAGTGGGACAGCTCCTCCTCCACATGGGCGAGAGGGTGCTATCCGCCATGTTGGAGCCAGATTGGACAGTGGTTGGCGTTTTTTCCTCAGCCAAGGGCGGAGGGAGTGGACCTGGGGGAAGGGCAGGCGGGCATTTGTGGTGCAACAGTGCCATCCAGAGGAAACTGTTTGGCGCTCCCGCAAAGCCAGGCCTGGGGTTTCCTGGGGAGGAGTGGCTTGGGAGTGCAGTTGGGGTCCAGCAGGGACAAGGGACAGATCCCCAGACAGATCAGAGTTCTCTGGAGGCCTCAGGGAAGACCGTGGCGGGTCGGGCAGTAAAAGCACCAGGGACAGGTGGCAAGCCAAGGTGGACAGCCAGCTGCCTGGCGTACCTATACAGGAAATGCCAGCTGAGGAGCCTGGTGGCGGCCAATCTGGGCAGGACTAGCAGTAGCCTTTTTTGAAGAGCCAGTCCTCAACGCTATGGGCAAATTGTCTTTTGTCCCTCTGACTGTTGTCATACTCATGCCAAGGTGTCACCTAGTGCATTCTTGCAGAAGACTATTCTTACCGTTGCAACTCTCATTGCACAGGGAGCAATTCCCTGAGCCTCTGCAGACATCTTCCTCATTTTCCTTGTGTAAAATTCACAAGAGCCTGAAGGTAATGACCAAGAACATCCCTTGTTCCCTGGTTTTGTCTATATCTCTTGGTCTCAACCTTATGCTTGCTGAGGGAGTTTGCAATCAACAAAGTCTGGTGACCCTGTGTAAATGTTATCACTGTTGACTTCAGTCACAGTCTGCCCCTTCTTTCCACATTTTTTCTACCTGTTGTTCTCTCCACAGTCCCCTTCCTTCTTGAATTTCTTAGATTCACCCCCATCAGTAAGACCAGCCAAGGACTGAAATGATATGAAATACTCCTGGGCACACAGGGCTTTCCATGGACCTTTATGACCTATTGCCTGCTACTGGAGAACCACTGTCGTGGTCATACTCTGTGCCAGTTCCCACCTGCCTGTATCTGTGCTACCTGTTCAACGCTAGCCCAAGGATACAGTAGGCCCAGGGCTGCACTCCTTTTCTTTCGTACCTACTCGATCGTTTCTAAAAGTTATTGCTGGGGCTCCAGTACTTCGCACTCATGAGTTTCCTGAATTCATGCTCAGGGCATCCATATGCGCTGAGCCTTTGGGACAACTGACCTATTTCTCTGTTGATGAACTGGTCAGGGTAAGGACCTAGAGGATGTGATCACACCCCCACCAAAAACTGAGTGTGTCGGTCTTGTTACAGCAAGGGTTACAGTGGGTGGTTGCAAGGACAAACCAAGCAGCACACGGAGACTGGAGAACCATGGTTTATTCGCCAGCAGGCTCAGAGGGGACTTGCCACCAAATCTCAGCCTCATCTACCGAGTTTCTTCCACTTTCATTAAGTTAGGGTGGTCCGTGGGGTGGGGTCTCAGGTGACTGATGCAATAGGTAAGCATGAATGCAGATGCCAGGTAATATGTTGGTATGAGGTTGATGAGGGTCTTCCTTATCAGTGTCCGTGTGCTTCTTTACCCGGAGCAGTGCTCTGGGAAAGCCAGACCCAGAGAACATACTCCTCCATATGTGTGACCCCAGGTATATTTCCGGGGGCAAGTTCCCAAATCATACCACTTGAGGCCAGGGAACAGGGGACGTTTGGAATGTTCCCCAACTGTAATGCATGAGCAATACAGACCCGTGACTCCCATCTCCAGAGAAGGGAGGCCACGTTGACTTGTGGATCCCCAGTGGATGCCGCCATGCTCTGTGCAGTGGGAGAAGATGCATAGCATGCCATCCTGTGGGGCCTGTGACGCAGACTTTCTCTGACAGGAACGAAAGGAATCAACCAGAACTTGGGAGGCCGTGCACCATGTTACCATTTCTTCTTTTGTTCTAGTATCCAGTAATCAGGATATTAATCCTTTCTACAAGAGACTACCCATGACATTCTGGTGCTGGCTCCTCCTCTTTACTGGGCTGGGCCTAGGTTTTCCAGATGGACCCTTAGGTCCGGAATTCCCAGTGGCCTTGACTACCAGGAAAGTGTCACTCTTAATGCCCCAATGTTGCCCCAGCACTAGCAGGAAAGATCCAGAGGCAAATCCCTTGTGGTAGTTTCAGTTCCATGTTGCCAAACATGGCGGCTGCTGAGGACAGGACTCCAGAGACTCCCAGAGCCTGGCAGGCCTGGCAGCCAATGGCTCCTTGGTAGCCCAACTTGACTCCCTCTCTCTCTCATTAAACCAGGAGTCACCCTGTGGGGTCCGCAGGTGCAGCCCCAGAATTTGCCCATTTCCGAAAACTTATGCTTCCTCCTCTCAGAGGCCTCCCCTCAGTGTACACAGAGACTAGCTGGAAGCTAGTCTCAAATAGAATCCGCTTGGGGGCACTGTCGCTCCAGAAATGCCAACAATTTGGCCTCCCAGCCCTCTCCCTCCACCCTTTATAAGTGAAAAAACGTGAAATAATGCTCAAAAGGAATTCAAGCCCTAAGAGTGGGGTTTATTCTTTTCAGGTGTTGAGGGAAAAGGTCTGTCTCTTTCTGAGGCTCTAGTTATGGAATATAAATGTCTGTGTGAAAATGTTCATCCAAAAGTGTAGATGTACTGATTTATCCATCGATATATCATTCCTTCATAAACTTTGAGCCAGAATTTACTATAATGAGGTAGTCAGTTTTCTGGTCACACCTGTGGGTATTATAAGGTTCTTCTTAAGTAGGCGGGTTGCTCCTAAGGGAATATTGACTCATAGCCTGACATGCGCTGAGTATCTGGATTTCCCCTCTTAAGCTGCAGTCATTACCTGCATTCTGTCATTTGGGAGTCAGGGCTACTAGCCCCTAGGAGCCAACCAAGGGAAGCACATTCCAGGAGTAAACTGCCTTAAGAGCAGTCTAGAGAAGGATTAGCAGTAGGGCACTGTGAGAGCAGCAGGAATTGACAGGGGTCATGTGAGGGGACAAGACTCTAAGGATGTAGCCCTGAGTCACCTACAGGGACTCAGGTAGTCACTCACCATTGAGTAGCCCAGATTGGGGTTCCAAGGCTCATGAGGGAAATCCAGTGGTTCTACACATGTAGGTGACCTCAGAAAGGGCCTTTTGTTCTGCAGCCCCTCGTGGCAAACTCTATATTGAAGTGTGGCTGTGCTGTCCGCTCACACCACACATTCATTCATGCATTCATTCATGCATTCATTCATGCATGCATAGACACTCAAACCCTCTTCCCTAAATAAGTATATATTTTTCCCTTTCCCTATTCGATATTCTTTCTCCCATGACAACCTTGATAATACCACGTGGGATAGAAATTTCTCCCATTTAAAGATGCAGCCCATTCCATTATGTGATGCCCAATCCCTAATTATGCCTTTGTTTTCTACTCCTCTTATCATCCTTCCCTAAAGTCAGAAGTAGATGTCAATTTTCTCTTGGGTGTGTGTTTGTATGTCGTGTCTTGTGCATATGAATGAAAATGTGGAAGTTTGTTTGCATTTGACCTTCTCTCTGACCCCACCAGGGTGATATGGAATAAAACACATGTGCCTTTTGGCCTTTGCATTTGTGTGCAGAGTCAACATTCAGCCAGATCCTTTCCATTTCTCTGTAACAAGTGCCTGCGGTGATAGTGGCAGGATTATTTGTTTGTCGTGTCTCTTCATTTTGGACTATTGGTTTTTGTTTTCCTCCTTATCATCTACTTTTCTTTGAAAGAGATCTGCCCTTGTGTCTGGGTTAAGTCTCTGTTCTGACGGGGTGAGGATGTGTGACTGACAGGTAAGTGGAGTACTCTCTGTGTCCACCCTGAAACCAGCTGCTGAGTACATTGAGACGCAGCCCCCGCACCCCCACCTAAGAATGATTTGCCCTCATCCCTTGAAAGTCAGTGTGGTGGATCTGTGTGCAGCCAGACTGCAGATACCTGCTTCCTGTTCCTTCTCTAGCCAGGTGAGCTAACGGTCCTTCATGGGTCTGTTACTCCATTAATATGAGGTGGAGGAAACAGCCTCAGTTGCATATTTTGACATATACTTCTCCATAGTCACACAGTACAGATACCAGCAGAGAAGTCGTGTGAGGATAGATGCCCAAGGTAGGCTGGTTGTAGTTGTCAATGAACAGAAAGCCAAGGGTAAACTCATCATTTTGCACCAGCTTATAGGGGGAAAATAGTGTGAACTCCAATAAACACATGAATGGTTATTTCCTGGAGCAGGAAGCGCTTTGGGGTCTTGGGAATTCCCAGTCTTATGTGTCCTGGTTTTGCCCTTTCTAAACACTGTCCTTTTTGAAAGTTCAAATATATCCACATTCTGTTGAAACCTTGAAGCTTTAAAAATTTAGATTCTTGTCATTGTGTTAAGTTCATGGTACTCTTGCCTCCCAAAAAGCAGTCTCTAAGTCACATACCTATTTGGGGCATTTTATATCTCAGCCACTGGGAGCTGTGAAAGGAAGAATCAATGCTTTTCTCAAGCAAATGGGTTCCTTGATGTATTTTGACTCTCCTTCCCTCCATCCATGCCTGCTCCTGCTGCTTTAACCCCTTTTACAGATTAGAATACTCTAGAATTGATGATCTTGGGTGGTAAATAAAGGTGGATAAATAGGGACTGTTAAATTGGGAGCCTTTTCTTATAACCACGATTGGGTTTTGTTTTCCACCCCCAAATTTCTATCTCTCCACTGAAATCCCACACCAGTGCTTGGATTTATAATGTGGCCTAGAGTGTGTGTGTGTATGTGTGTGTGATTTGTTTTGTTTTGTTTTTTTAAGCTTCCCTTAAGAGAATAAATGGTAATGGAGAGTACTGTTAACAAGGTCAAGGTCCTGGTTTCTCTTGCAGCACAGTAGCTAAACTTGCCTGCTTCTATGTGCAACTTTGTAGAGGTCAGCTGGGTAGATGGTATCCTTCCCTATCATGGGCAATATAATATTAGTACCTGCAGAAATGACACCTTGGTCTCTTGTTTGCAAGCCCCTTTCCCATCAGTCCTAGGTTAGACTGTGTCCAGCCATGCAGAGGTGTGGGTTTTATGTGTGCTGCAGCAGTGGCCATAAGGAGTAATTTACCAAGTGGACAAAAGGTACACCAAGTGAATTAGCTTTACATAATTGACATGAATTGGCTAGTAGCTAGGAAGTGGGTTTTTAAAAGAGATACCCAAATTTGAAAGGGTTTTTTTTTTTAAAGAAACCATTGGTTGTAGATAATGAAAAGCTAGGATTTGCCCTCTTCATGTCTACTCTCCTTCCAAATAGTTGTATCCAAAAATGCTGGTGTTCCCAATCCCCAACCTTGCCTCCCTCCACCCTCATTAAAACAGAAACAGGGATTGATTTATGTCCCGCTCCTGAATACATGTAAAATTTGTACAAAAATATCTTCTATGAAAATGATTTGTAATCTGTAGACTTAATACCTGGGAGATGTCTTGAGATGTAAAATCCCATCCTTTGGGTTGTGGGTTTTTTGTTTTCTCCAAATAAATCTGATCTTTAAAGTTAAAAAAAAAAAAAAAAAGATATATAGTTCCTGGAGAGCTGCTTCTTTATTACAGCCCAAAACGACTTCATGCAATTGCCTAGAAATCAGTAGGGTTAATTTTTACTCTGTAATATCTGTAAAAGTCAAAGATGACCCTACAGAATTGTCTTTACTGATTCCATGTCCCCCTTCTTTTTTGTAGCCTCATGGGGATGAGTGGGATTGGAGTCAACACAGTGTCCAACCAGAATGAACGATGGGGCCCCCTGCAGGTACTCAGCTAAAGGTAAGGGGGAGACATGGCCTATGGCCGCTTCAGAGAGGGCTCCTGGGCAGTTTGCATTTTTGTGTGGGTCTCGGGTAATCCCCTTTTGAATCAGGCCTGACACAGTAACAATTAGACATCTATTAGAATACGCACCCATTTCTGGGGAAGAAAATGTAAAAATTCTGCCTTTTCCTTTTCCTTGTCCATGTCCGGCCTAACATAGGCAAATCCGCAGAAGCTCGCACACCTCTATGTGTTTTTCACAGCAAGCCTCCAGGTAGGAGCTGTCTGGAGATGGACCATGAGCTGGTGGGAGGAAAACGGGTGTCTTGGGGTGGTACCTGGCTCTGTTCCTCTCTGTCCTAGCCATGCCTGAACCACCGCAATCTGCCATAGTCAGAAGGGCCCTCTGTCCAGGGCTTAGAGTGTGTCCTGACTCCTTGCACCCCACAGGTAACTCTGGGACACTGGTCACTCTAGTCCTGATTTTCAAGGTGGCCTCGGACTGACCTGTGAGAGTGCCCACATCAGAATGTTTCCTGGCTGGCAAAGGCTGGGGTTGGGTCCAAAGTTGTGCCCATTCTGGATCTTGTCCCTCAGGGCTCAAGCAGCCTCTAGTGGTCACAGTGTAGGTTGGTAATGGGTTGGTTCCTAAGCATTGCTAGGGGGACTGCAGGTGAACTCTCCCCTTTTGGTCAGGAAGGCAGGTGAAGAAGACCAAAGTGAGGCCATATTCAGGGCAGTGGTTCGCTTCTCCTCCACTTGGGCAACAGGGTGCCATCCGCCATGTTGGAGCCCAGTTGGATAGTGGTTGGTGTTTTTTCCTCAGCTAAGGGCGGAGGGAGTGGACCTGGGGGAAGGGCAGGCAGGCATTTGTGGTGCAACAGTGCCATCCAGAGGAACTTTTTTGGTGTGCCTGCAAAGGCAGGCCTGGGGTTTCCTTGGGAGGAGTGGCTTGGGAGCGCAGTCGGGGTCCAGCAGGGACAGGGGACGGATCCCCAGACGGATCAGAGCTCTCTGGAGGCCCTGGGCAAGGGTGGCCCCTGGTACTTCGGGTTGTGAAATTACCAGGGTTGAGCAGCAGGTCGAGGTGGACAGCCAGCCGCCTGGCGGGCCTGTACAGGAAGTCTGGCTGCGGAGCCTGGTGGCGGCCATGTCTGAGCAGGACTAGCGGGAACCTGCAGGGGGGATCAGGGGATTGGGGCTGTAAGCTCGGGACCAGGGCTGTGGGCAGCTTGCCTGGTGCCCCTTCCCTTAGGAGTATGGGGCAGGATGACGTAGGTGGCTCTTTTTTTACAGTATACTCCAGTGAGAGACCACTCCCAGACCTTGTGTTTCAGGGCCCTTTGGCGTCTGTGGTGGCCTGGGATGAGATGTTCTTCTGTCCTAGGGAAGGAGACTGGCCTTGCTGGTGCATGTGACAGCCCGTGGGATCAGCAGCTAGACTGGCCATTGAAGCGACTTATACAAATCCCAGCCCAACCAATGTAACATAGGGTGTGTCCCTGCTTCCCTTCTCTTTTGTGTACATGTATCAAATGATCAGTGAATTGTCTTTACCTCGGGCCCATCTCCATGGCAGTCACTTGTGGCTTGGGGCCTTGCTCTGCCCCTACATCTGTGCTGTGTGGGTGCAGGGACCTGTGCTGTGTCATTAGGAGCAGACAGTTGGGTGTTGGGGGAAGGTTTGGAAAAGGGATACTCTGGAAAGGAAGGGTGTACTTGTTAGGCCTGCTGTAGCGGGCGAAGCCAAGAGCATCCAGAACGATGGAGCCCTTGGGTTTGGCCCAGGGAGTAAGTGCTGCTTGGCAGAAGGGACAGCTCAGGCAGGCTCAATCAACATAGCAAGTGGCAGTGGGCACTGGCTCCTTCACCCTCTGGTCCCTCTCTGTGGTGTCAGGTGGGCCCCACTGGCAGAATGACACAAGGTTAAAGTTGGCTTGTGAGGTTGGAGCATTGAAGACATGACCCTTTGCAAGAAACTATCTGGAAAGGCAGAGGCCTGGGCCACTGGGGCGTGATTGTAATGTGGCTGAGAACATTGAGTATCAGTATGCCAGGGGAAGAGAGGTGTATGTCCCTTAGCCCCTCTTTATAGAATTCAGGGGAAGGAAGGGAAGGATGGGATTCTTTAGAGGTCACAGGTGGGATGTTACTGGAGAAAGGGAAACAAATGCAGGCAGAGTGAGGTTATGGGCCTCTGAGGACTGACCCCTTGGGAATAAGGTGTCTTCCTTGGAGTGAGAAAAGGAGAAAAGGCCCCTAAGGAGAGTTGTCCCTCCCTCCTATCTGAATGCAGAGAGATAGCCACATGGATTTATGTGCCCATCTATGCCAGCGTGCACACAGACTTCGATGAAATCTCACAGTTATCTTCCGTCTAAGCCCAGTTTGGTAGCTGTGCATGGGCCGACTTTCCCAGGATAAAGAGGATAAGGTCCAGCTTTGACTTGCCTGGCCTGGGCTTTGAGGATCAGGGAGGGGCTTTTCAGGGTGGCAGTGGTGGCCGAGGCAGCAGCATCTATCTGTAGAGGTAGTTGCATAGGGTTTGGACTCCTTTGCATTTGTCTTAAGGCCTCTCGGTCTACTTGAGTGATTTCTAATCCCTTCAGTTGCATCTCTCATGGTTTTGTAGTAATATCTTGATGTTGGCTGTGGAGGATCAGGAAGCAAACATACATGCTCACACACACACACACACACACCACGCATACACAGTGAGAGTGCTGGACACAAAAGAGAAAAACAGTGAATATTCACGATAGGAGAGAGAGAAATAAAAAGGATGGGTTGGGGAGAGACAGGGAGACAAGGAAGGAGTTAGGAGGTGGGGAAAGGCAGAGAAAGGAGTCAAAAAACACCTTGTTGTAGGAATCTTGCACAGAAGTTTCTGGTGTGAAGTTCTGGAGGTGGGCAGGGAGACAGTAGCTCGGGTGTCCTGTGTCCCCTCTGTTTACTGTGAATTGTGTACAGAGTAGTGTCCCTGGGCCATGTGTTATCTGCACGTATGTTGGGAGTATTCCTCTTTTTTTTCTTTTATTGTTTTTGGTTTTTTTTGTTTTTGTTTTTGTTTTTGTTTTTGTTTTTTTTGAGATACACTCTCGATTTCTTGGCCAGGCTAGAGTGAGTGCCGTGGCGTCAGCCTAGCTCACAACAACCTCAAACTCCTGGGCTCAAGCAATCCTCCTGCCTCAGCCTCCCGAGTAGCTGGGACTACAGGTATGTGCCACCATGCCCGGCTAATTTTTTGTATATATTTTTAGTTGGCCAATTAATTTCTTTCCATTTATAGTAGAGACGGGTCTCGCTCTTGCTCAGGCTGGTTTTGAACTCCTGAACTCGAGCAATCCGCCCGCCTCAGCCTCCCAGAGTGCTAGGATTACAGGCGTCAGCCACTGTGCCTGGCCTGTATTCCTCTTTTTGATCAGCCATGATACAGGAACCGTAAGATGCCACGAGGATGTACAACTATTTAGGGGGAAGAAGATACAAACACTTCTACATTATCCTTGCCCTTGTCCAGCCTAACACACACAATTCCACAGAAGCGTAAACTCCTCTATGTGTTTTTCACAGCAACCCCCCCTCCCCCCACTCTCCTTAGGAGCTCTCCTGAAAGTATCAGAGGATCCCAGGAACAAAACCAAGAGGAGGACAGGTGCCTTAGGGGTGACACCTGGATCCAGGCCTATCTGACCTAGCTATGTCTGAACCATGGTGGGCTTGCAGAGCAAGTGGGGCCTGGTGGTCATGCCAACTGTCCCAGTGTTACACTTTCTTCTGACTGTTAGGACAGGGGCAGGTGAGATAGCTCCTCCAAAAAGTTGCCAAGATGGTGCTATCTGCCATATTGGAGCCAGATTGGACAGTGGTTGGCGTTTTTTCCTCAGCCAAGGGCGGAGGGAGTGGACCTGGGGGAAGGGCAGGCAGGCATTTGTGGTGCAACAGTGCCATCCAGAGGAACATGTTTGTTTTTCCTATGAAGCCAGGGCTGAGGTTTCCTGGGGAGGAGTGGCTTGTGAGTGGAGTCAGGGTCTATCAGGGACAGGGGACTGGACCCCGGACAGGTCAGAGCTCTCTGGAGGCCTCGGAGGGAAGGGTGGCTTGTGCGGTTCGAACCCTAGAAGCACCAGGGACAGGCAGCAGGCTGAGGTGGATATCCAGCTGCCTGGTGGGCCTGTACAGGAAGTCTGGCATGTGGTGCCTAATGGCAGCCATATCTGGGCGGGACTAGTGGGAGCCTGGATTAGAGAACGAGGCCTCAATGCCATGGGCAGTTTGACTTCTGTTCCTCTTCCTGTTGTCATACTCACGCCAAGGTGTCAGTGAGTACATTCTTGCAGAGGACTGTTATTACTGTTCCAAGTCTCATTGCCAAGTGAGCAATAGGCTGAGCCTTTGCAGACATGTCCTTCCTCATTTACCTTGCCTAAAATTCACTACAGCCTCAAGGCAATGGCCAGGAGCATCCCCTTGTTCCTGGTTCCCTCTATATCTCTTGGTCTCAACCTTGTGCTTGCTCAGGGAGTTTGCAATCAAAAAGGTCTGGTGATGCTCTGTAACTATCATCACTGTTGGTTTCAATCACGGTCTCCCCCTCATTTCCCAGTTTTTTCTCCCTTTTGCTCTATCCACAGTACCCTTCCTTCTTGAGTTTCTTAGATTCACCAACATCAGTCAGACCTGCCAGGGCCAGAAATGATGTGAAATTCTTGGGCACACAGGGCTTTCCATGGACCTTTACGACCTATGGCCTGCTACTGGAGAACCACTGTCGTGGTCATACTCTGTGCCAGTTCCCACCTGCCTGCATTCATGTTACTTATTCAACGGTAGCCCAAGGATATGGTAGGCCTAGGGCTGCACTCCTTTTCTTTCATACCTACTGGATGATTTCTAAAAGTTATTGCTGGGGCTCCAGTACTTCATACTCATCAGTTTCCTGAATTCATGCTCAGGGCATCCATATGCGCTGAGCCTTTGGGACAACTGACCCATTTCTCTGTTGATGAACTGGTCAGGGTAAGGACCTAGAGGATGTGATCACACCCCCACCTAAAACTGTGAATGTGTCGGTCTTGTTACAGCAAGGGTTACAGTGGGTGGTTGGGAGGACAAACCAAGCAGCACACGGAGACTGGAGAACCATAGTTTATTCGCCAGTGGGCACAGAGTGGACTTGCCACCAAATCTCAGCCTCATCTACCGAGTTTCTTCCACTTTCATTAGGTTAGGGTGGTCCATGGGGTGGGGTCTCAGGTGGCTGATGCAATAGGTAAGCATGAATGCAGATGCCAGGTAATAAGTTGGTATGAGGTTGATGAGGGTCTTCCTTATCAGTGTCCGTGTGCTTCATTACCTGGAGCAGTGCTCTGGGAAAGCCAGACCCAGAGAACATACTCCTCCATATGTGTGACCCCAGGTATATTTCCGGAGGCAAGTTCCCAAATCATACCACTTGAGGCCAGGGAACAGGGGACATTTGGAATGTTCCCCAACTGTAATGCATGAGCAATACAGACCCGTGTCCCCCAGCACCAGAGAACAGTGGCCACATTGACTTGTGGATCCCCAACAGATTTCTTCTTTTGTTCTAGTATCTAGTAATCAGGATATTTATCCTTTCTACAAGAGACTGCCCATGACATTCTGGCGCTGGCTCCTCCTCTTTACTGGGCTGGGCCTAGGTTTTCCAGATGGACCCTTAGGTCCGGAATTCCCAGTGGCCTTGACTGCCAGGAAAGTGTCCCACTTAATACCCCAATGTTGCCCCAGCACTAGCAGGAAAGATCCAGAGGCAAATCCCCTGTGATAGTTTCAGTTCCATGTTGCCAAACATGGCGGCCGTGGATGACTGGACTCTAGGGACTTCGGAGCCGGAGCCTGGCTGGTCTATCAGCCAATGGCTCCTTGGTAGCCCAAACTGACTCCCTCTCTTTCTCATTAAACCCAGAGTCACCCTGTGGGGACATCAGGTGCAGCCCCAGAATTTGCCCATTTCCCAAAACTTATGCTTCCTCCTCTCTGAGGCCTCCCCTCAGTATACACAGAGACTAAAAAGAATCCGCTTGGGGGCACTGTCGCTCCAGAAATGCCAACAATTTGGCCTCCCAGGCCTCTCCCTCCACCCTTTATAGGTGAAAAAACACCAAAGAATGCTCAAAAGGGATTCAAGCCCTAAGAGTGGGGTTTATTCTTTTCAGGTGCTGAGGGAAAAGTCTGTCTTTTTCTGAGGCTCTAGTTGTGGAATATAAATGTCTGTGTGAAAATGTTCATCCAAAAGTGTATATGTACCGATTTATCCATCGATATATCATCCCCTCATAAGCTTTGAGCCAGAATTTACTATAATGAGGTAGTCAGTTTTCTGGTCACACCTGTGGATATTATAAGGGTCCTCTTGAGTAGGCGGGTTGCTCCTAAGTGAATATTGACTCATAGCTTGACATGGACTGAGTATCTGGATTTCCCCTCTTAAGCTGCAGTCATTACCTGCATTCTGTCATTTGGGAGTCAGGGCTACTAGCCCCTAGGAGCCAACCAAGGGAAGCACATTCCAGGAGCAAACTGCCTTAGGAGCAGTCCACAGAAGGAGTAGCAGTAGGGTATTGTGGGAGCAGCAGGAATTGACAGGGGCCATGTGAGGGGACAAGACTAGAAGGTCATAGCCCTGCGTCACCTACAGGGACTCAGGTAGACACTCCCCATTGAGTATCCCAGATTGGAGTTCCTAGTGTGAACTAAAATAAAACTTAAGGCTCACCACTCCCACTAGCTAACTAAGTGGACCCCCTGTTGGCCAAAGGAATATCCTAAAACAAAATTGTCTGCCAGAAAGAGGGAGGTCAGATATGTCTCATCATGCCCCCCCTCCAGTCTTGGGGACATCCTTTGTAACCCATTAACAGGACTAAGTGTATGCAAGACAAACCTGCAGGTCCTCAATTTACTGAACAAATCTATGTCCAGTGGCTTATCTCTGACAACAGCTCCTTATGTTAAAACATTCCAAGCCTTTAGACAAAGCTTCATGTCTTTAACCAATTACAAACCAAAGAATCTTTAATCACACCTAAAACCTGTAGCCCCCCCCCCAGAGAGGTCCCACATTTTTGGGTCAAGCCAATGTATACCTCCCACATATTGATTTATGATAAAACTAAACTGTAACCTAGCCACAGTGAGTCCTCTTGCTCAAGGATTCTTGGAAGTTGCTCCAGATCAAGGTACTAAAATTTGGGTCCGAATAAACTTCTTTCAAACATTTTATAGTTTGGATTTTTCTGTCCACAATGTATACATTTTTCCCTTCCTTTTCGATATTCTTTCCCCCATGACAACCGTGGGAATACCCTTTGATTAGAAATTTCTCCCAGTTAAAGAGACAGCCCTTTCCATTGTGTGATGTACAATCCCAAATTGTGCCTTTCTCTTCTACCCCTCTTACCATCCCTCCCTAAAGTGAGAAGTAGATGTCAATTTCCTCCTCTGTGTTTGCTTCTGCTATCTTGTACATACAAATGAAAATGTGGAAGTTTGTCTGCTTTCGGCCTCTTCTCTGACCTTGCCAGGCTGATATGGAACAAAACACACATCCCTTGGCCTTTGCACACGTGTGCAGAGTCAACATCCAGCCAGATCCTTTCCATTTCCCCTGTAACCGCTGCCTGGGGTGATAGCAGCAGGATCATTTGTTTACCATGTCTCTTCATTTGGACACTTGGTCTTTGCTTTCCTCCTTCCCATCTTCTTTTCTTTGAAAGAGATCTGACCTTGTTTCTGTGTATTAAGTCCCAGTGCTGACAGGGTGAGCATGTGTGACTGACAGGTACATGGAGTGTTGTCTGTGTCCACCCTCAATCCAGCTGCTGAGTACATTGAGACGCAGCCGCCCCCAAGAATGATTTGCCCTTGTGTCTAGAAAGTCATTATGGTGGATCTGTGTGCAGCTAGACTGCAGATACCTGCTTCCCGTTCCTTTTCTAGCCAGATGAGCTATAGGTTCTTCATGGGTCTGTTACTCTATTGATATGAGGTTGAGGAAGCAGCCTCAGTTGGATATTTTGACATACACTTCTCCATAGTCTCAGAGTACAGATACCAGGAGAGAAGTTGTGTAAGGATAGACGCCCAAGGTAGGCTGGTTGTAGCTGTCACTGAATAGAAAGCCAAGGGTAAATTCTCCCTTATTTCAAGATGTATAGTTTCCGGAGAACTGCTTCTTGGTTACATCCCGAAACAACTTCATGCAATTGCCTATAAATGAGTTGAGTTGATTTTTACTCTGGAATTTCTGTAGAAGTCAAAGATGACCCAACAGAATTGTCTTTACCGATTCTGTGACCAGTTTCCTTTTTGTAGCATCAAGGAGATGAGTGGGATTGTAGTCAACACATTGTCCAACCAGAAAGAAGGACGGGGCTACCTGCAGATACAGATCTAAAGGTAAGGGGGAGACATGGCCCATGGCCACTTCAGAGAAGTGTTCCCAGGCAGTTTGTATTTTTCCATGAGTTTGTGGTATTCCCCTTTATAATCAGACCTGACAAAGTAACAGTGAGATATCTGTTAGAATATGCACCCATTTCTGGTGAAGAAAATGTAAACAATTCTTCCTTGTCCTTGTCCTTGTCCATATCTGGCCTTATATAGCGAAGTCCGCAAAAGCATGGACACCTGTATGTGCTTTGCATGGCAAGCCTCTAGGTAGGAGCTGTCTGAAGATGGACCTAGGGGTAGCACAAGGAGAATGGGTGTCTTGGGGTGGCACCTGGCTCTGGACCTGTCTGTCCTAGCCATGCCTGTACCTCCCTGGGCTACTAGAGTGAGAAGGGTCTTCTGTCCAGGGCTCACAGTATGTCTTGACTTCTTGCTGCCCACCATGTAAATCTGGGACACTGGTCACCTTCGACCTGTTGGTCAAGATGGCCTTGGACTGACCTGTGAGAGTGCCCACGTCAGAATGTTTCCTAGCTTGCAAGGGGTGGAGTTGGGTCCAATCCTATGCCCTGTCTGGATCTTGTCCTTGGAATCTCGAGAAACCCCAGTGGTCACGGTGTAGGTTGTGATTGAGTAGATTCCAATGCGTAGCTAGGGGGACTGCAGGTAAACTCTTCCCTTTTGGTCAGAAAGGCAAGTGAAGGGGACCCTAGTGAGGCCAGGCTCAGGGCAGTGGGACAGCTCCTCCTCCACATGGGTGAGAGAGTGCTGTCCGCCATGTTGGAGCCAGATTGGACAGTGGTTGGCGTTTTTTCCTCAGCCAAGGGTGGAGGGAATGGACCTGGGGGAAGGGTAAGTGGCATTTGTGATACAACAAATGGCATTTGGGAGTGCAGTCGGGGTCCAGCAGGGACAGGGGACTGGACCACAGACAGATCAGAGCTCTCTGGAAGCCTGGGGAAGGGTTGCCTGTGTCGGGTCCAGCTGTGGAATCACCAGGGACATGCGGTGGGCCGAGGTGGACAGCCAGTCACCTGGCTGGTCTGTACAGGAAGTCCTGGCTGTGGAGCCTGGTGGTGGCCATGTCTGAGTGGGACTAATGGAAGCACGTATTGGGGAATGAGGCCTCAAGTCTATGGGAAGTTTGTCTTCTTCTCCTCTTCCTGGTGTCATACTCACGCCAAGGTGTCAGTGAGGGGATTCTTGCAGAGGACTATTATTATGGTTCCAAGTCTCATTGCCAAGGGCGCAATTGCCTCAGCCTCTGCAGACTTCTCCTTCCTCATTTACCTTGCCTAAAATTCAGGACAGCCTCAAGGCAATGGCCAGGAGCATCCCTTATTTCCTGGTTTCCTCTATATCTCTAGGTCTAACTTTGTGCTTGCTCAGGGAGTTTGCAATCAACAAAGTCTGATAACACTATGTAAATGTCATCACTGTTGGGTTCAGTCAAGGTCTTCCCCTCCTTTCCACATTTTTCCTCCCTGTTGCTCTCTCCACAGTCCCCTTCCTTGTTGAGTTTCTTAGATTCCCCTCCCCCATCAGTCAGACCTGCCAAGGGCAGAAATGATGTGAAATACTCCTGGGCACACAGGGCTTTCTCACAGAACTTTATGACCTATGGCCTGCTACTGGAGAACCGCTGTTACGGGTCATACTCTGCCAGTTACCCCTGCCCATATCTGTGCTACCTGTTTAATGCTAGCCCAAGGATATGATAGGCTCAGGAATGCACTTTTTTTTTCATACCTACTGGATGGTTTCTAAAAATTATTGCTTGGACTCCAGTATTTCGCATTCATTAGTTTCCTGAATTCATGCGCAGGCCGTCCATATGCGCTGAGCCTTTGGGACAATTGACCTATTTCTCTGTTAATGAACTGGTCAGGGCGTGGAACTAGGGGCTCTGATCACACCCCCACCAAAAACTATAAGTGTGTTGGTCTTATTACAACAAGTCTTACAGCGGTTGGTTGTGAGGGCAAACCGAGTGGCACACGGAGAGTTGGAGAATCAAGGTTTGTTTGCCATTGGCCTCAAGAGAACTTGCCACCAAATTCTGAGCCCCATCTACTGGGTTTCTTCCACTTTTATTAGGTTAGGGTGGTCCATGGGGTGGGGTCTCAGGTGGCTGATGCAATAGGTAAGCATGACTGCTGAAGCCAGGTGATAGGTTAGTGTTAGGTTGATGAGGGTCTTCCTTGTCAGCCTCTGTGTGCTCCATTAACCCGGGCAGTGCTCTGGGAAAGCCAGACCCAGAAAACATACTGCTCTGTACGTGTGACCCCAGGTGTATTTATGGAGTTGAGTAACCGGGTCAAGACACTGGAGGCCAGGGAACAGGGGACATTTGGAATGTTCCCCAACTGTAATGCAGGAACATTACAGACCCCTGTCCCCCCCTCCAGAGGCGGGAGGCCATGTTGACTTGTGGATACCGCTGGACTCTGTGCAATGGGACAAGATGCATAGCATGCCATCCTGTGTGGCCTGTGACGTAGAATTTCTCTGACAGCAGTGTAAGGAATCACCCAGAACTTGGGAGTCTGTGCACGGTGTTACCTTTTCTTGTATTGTTCTAGTACCCAGGAATGAGGATATTTATCCTTTCTACAAGAGACTGCCCATGACATTCTGGCGCTGGCTCCTCCTCATTACTCGGCTGGGGCCTAAGTTTTCCAGATGGACTATTAAGTTCGGATTTCCCAGTGGCCTCGACTGCCCAGAAAGTGTCCCTCTTAATGCCTCAATGTTGCCCCTGTACCACCAGGAAGGACCAGTGCAAAATCCTCTGTGGTAGTTTCAGCTCCAGGTTCCCAACATGGCAGCTGCAGAGGACTGGTCTACAGGGACTCCCCAGCCTGGCAGGCCAGACAGCCCTGGGCTCCTTGGTAGCCAAGCCTGACTCCTCTCTCTCTCACTAAACCCGGGTTCTCCCAGTGGGGTCCGCAGGTGCAGCACTAGAATTCGCCATTTCCCAAAACAGGCTTCTTCCTCTCAGAGGCCTCCCCTCAGTGTACACAAAAGACTACCTGGAAGCCATACTCAAAAAGGGTCTGCTAGGTGGCACTGTCGCTCTAGAAATGCCAACAATTTGTCCTCCCAGGCCTCTCCCTCCACCTTTTATAGGTGAAAAAACGCCAAAGAATGCTTACAAGAGATTCAAGCCCTAAGAGGGGGGTTTATTCTTTTCAGGTATGTGGAAAAAGGTGCGTTTTTTTTCAGGCTATTGGTGTGAATATAAATATCTGTGTAAAACTGTTCAACCAAAGGTGTAGATGTATCGATTTATCCGTCAATATGTCATATCCTCATAAGCTTTGAGCCAGAATTTACTATAATGAGGTACCCAGTTTTCTGGTCACACCTGTGGGTGTTATAAGGTTCCTCCTGAGTGAAAGTCGACTCACAGCCTGACATGGGCTGAGTATCTGGATTTCCCCTCTTATGCTGCAGTCATTACCTGTAGTCTGTCCTTAGGGAGCCAGGGTTAGCCCCAAGGAGCCATCAATCAAAGCACATTCCAGGAACAAACTCCTAATGCTCCTAAGGCATTAGGAGCAGTGTAGAAAAGGCCATTGTGGGAGCAGCAGGAATTGACAGGAGCCATGTGACTTGACAAATCTGGAAGGATTAGCCTTGGGTCACCCACAGGGACTCAAGTAGTCACTCCCCATTGAGTAGCCCAGCTTGGGGTTCCAAGGCTCAGGAGGAGAACCCAGCGGTTTTACACAGGTAGGTGACTTTGGAAAGGGCCTTTGGTTGTGCAGCCCCTCGTCACAAACTCTACATGGAAGTGTGGCTGTGCTGTCCACCCACCCCACACATTCTTGCATGTAATCATTCATGCTTCCACACACACGCAAGCTCTCCTCCCTATATATGTGTACATATTTACCTTTTATTTTCGATATTCTTTCTCCCATGACAACGTTGGTAATACCAATAGGGATAGAAGTTTTTTTCAGTTAAAGAGATAGTCCTTTCCACTGTGTGATGTCCAATCCCTAATTGTGCCTTTTGTCTTCTACCCCTGTTACCATCCCTCCCTAAACTGAGAAATAGATGCCAATTTTTTCCTGTGTGATTGCATCTCATATCTTGTGCATATGAATGACAATGTGGAAGTTTGTCTGCTTTCAGCCTTCTCTCTGACCCTACCAGGCTGATATGGAATAAAACACACGTCCCTTGGCCTTTGCACATGTGTGCAGAGTCAACATCCAGCCAGATCCTTTCCATTTCCCCTGTTACAACTGCCTGGGGTGATAGCAACAGGATCATTTGTTTACCATGTCTCTTCATTTTGGACACTTGGTTTCTGTTGTCCTCCTTCCCATCTTCTTTTCTTTGAAAGAGATCAGACCTTGTTGTCTGGGTATTAAGTCCCAGTTCTGACAGGGTGAGGATGTGTGACTGACAGGTACATGGAGTAGAGTCTATATCCACCCTTAAACCAGCTGCTGAATACATTGAGATGAAGCTGCCCCACCCCCGCCCAAGAATGATTTGCCGTCATCCCCAGAAATTCATTGTGGTGGATCTGTGTGCAGCCAGACTGCAGATACCTGCTTCCCGTTCCTTTTCTAGCCAGATGAGTTACCAGTCCTTCGAGCATGTTTTATTCCATTAGAATGAGGAGGAGCAAACAGCTTCACTTGGATATTTTGACATACACTTTTCCATAGTCATACAGTACAGATACCAGGAGAGAAGTTGTATGAATACAGACGCCCAAGGTGGGCTGGTTGTAGTTGTCAGTGAGCAGAAAGCCAAGAGTAAATTATCCCGTTTTTCAACGTACATGTCTCCCGGAGAGCTGCTTCTTTATGACAGCCTCAAATAATTTCATGTAATTGCCTAGAAATGAGTAGGTTGATTTTTACTCTGTAATTTCTGTAGAAGTCAAAGAGACCCTAGAGAATTGTCTTTACCAATTCCATGACCCCCTTCTTTTTTGTAGCCTCATGGAGATGAGTGGGATTGCAGTCTACACAGTGTCCTACCAGGATGAAGGCTGGTTGGTCACAGCTGCATATATACAGCTAAAGGAAAGGGGGAAATGTGGCCAAGACCACTTCAGAGAAGTCTTCCTGGGCAGATTGCATTTTTGCATGTGTTTGGGGTATTCCCCTTTTTAATCAGTCCTGAAATAGTAGCAGTTAGATATCTATTAGAATATGCACCCATTTTGGGGGAAGAAAATGTAATCATTGTGCCTTATTCTTGTCCATATCTGATAAACATTAGCACATCCACAGAAGCACACACACCTCTATGTGTTTTTCACAGCAGGTCTTCAGATAGGAGCTGTCTACAAATGGACCTAGGGTTGACAGGAGGAGAATGGGTGTCTTGAGTGTCGATCCTGGCTGTTCCTGTCTTACTTAGCCATGCCTGAACCACCTCGCGCTTCCAGAATGAGAACGGACCTCTGTCCAGGGCTTAGAGTGTGTCCTGCCTCCTTGTTCCCCGCCAGGTAACTTTGGGACACTGGTCACACTCGACCTGGTCCTAAAAGTTGGCCTGGGACTGACCTGTGCAAGTGCCCACGTCTGAATGTTTCCTGGCTGGCAAAGGCTGGGGTGCATTAAACCCTGTGCCCAGTCTAGATCTTGTCCCTGAGGGCTCAAGCAGTCCCCAGTGGTCACAGTGTAGGTGGGGTTTGTGTTGGTTCCCATGCCTTGCTAGGGGGACTGCAGGTGAACCCATCCCTTTTGGTCAGGAAGGCAGGTGAAGGGGACCCTAGTGAGGCCAGGGTCAGGGCAGTGGGACAGCTCCTCCTCCCCATGGGCGTGAGGATGCCATCTGCCATGTTGGAGACAGCTTGGACAGTGGTTGGCGTTTTTTCCTCAGCCAAGGGTGGAGGGAGTGGACCTGGGGGAAGGGCAGGCGGGCATTTGTGGTGCTACAGTGCCATCCAGAGGAACATGTTTTGTGTTCCCGGGAAGCCAGGCCTGAGGTTTCCTGGGGAGGAGTGGCTTGGGAGTGCAGTCAGGGTCCAGAAGGGACAGGGAATGGGACCCAGGACATATCAGAGCTCTCTGGAGGCCTCAAGGAATGGTGGCCCATGGTAGGTGGGGACGTGGAAGCAGCAGAGACAGACAGCAGGCCGAGGTGGACAGCCAGACACCTCGCAGGCCTATACAGGAAGTCTGGCTGTGAAACCCGGTGGCGGCCATGTCTGGGCGGGACTAGTGGGAGCCTGCACTGGGGAGCTGAGGCTTGGGGCTGGAAGCTCCAGCTCCAGCCAGACACCTTGCAGGCCTATACAGGAAGTCTGGCTGTGAAACCCGGTGGCGACCAATTCTGGGCGGGACTAGTGGGAGCCTGCACTGGGGAGCTGAGGCTTGGGGCTGGAAGCTCCAGACCCAAGGCTCAGGAAAGCTTTCCTGGTGCCACTTCCCTTAGGAGCAAGGGACAGTATGGCCTAGATGGCTCCATGTTCACACTGTATCCTAGTGAAGAACCATGGGTGCCTAGTTATCTTCAGCCATTGCCAACCGTGGTAGCCAGAGCTGAGATGTTCCTTTCTCCTTGTTAGAAGACACAGTGGCCAGGCGTGGTGGCACTCCACAAGGCCCACACTCAGATTGTCACTAGAGTACACCTCTGCTCCCATTTTCTGTTATGTCTATTTCCCAAATCATTGGGCAATTGCCTTGGAACCAGGCCACTCGCCTCTGTCAGTATTTTATGCCTCCGACCCTCCCTCATTTGTGTGCTCTGAGCATAGCAGGACCTTCACTCTGAGATCAGGAGTGGAAAAATGTCTACGGTGACAAACTTTAAACAAGGGAGACTCTGAGTTTCCACTGGCGAGGAGGGATGTACCTAAACAATCTAAAGTGCAGGCAGCCAAGTGCCTCCAGAAGGACGGAGCCGTTGGCTTTGGCCCAGAGAGAGACTGCTGTGTAGCAGAAGGGACAGGCAGGGCAGGCTCAGGTGCCATGGCAAATGGTGGTATGTCCTGGTGCCTTCACCCTTGCATTCCGCTCCATGTCCTTATGTGGCTCCATGGGCAGCATCAGGCTTGGTGGACTTGGATTCCAGGGGTAGAGCTAGGAGTACATGTCCCTTTGCAAGATGCCATCTAGAAAGGCAGAGGCTCTGGCCATTGTCTTGTGTTTTCTTCTCCTTCCTAGAAGTTGAATAACCAATTTTTCATGAAAGAGAGGTGCTTTTCCAAGCAGGTTTTGCTGAACTCCACTTTGTGTAATTCAAGAGTGGGAAGGGACCCAGGAGACCCTCCTGGGGTCACAGGTGGGATATGTTTCTCAAGGGAGGGAGCGAATGCAGGCAGAGTGTGGTGTTGGGCCTCCAAGGCCTGACTTTTTGGGAGAAGGGTATCTTCCTTGGAGTGAAAAACGTTGCAAAGGACCTAAAACGGACATGTCCTTCCCTCCCTCCAGAATCCAAGAAGACCCTGAGGTGGACATGTGTACACTTGTATGCTTGTGTGCACCCATACTGTGAAGAAACTTCCATAAAAACACAGTTTGCATGGTGTATGTGGGCAACTTTCCCAGGACGAAGGGGATAACCTCCCACTGTCTTGGCCTTGGGGATCAGGGATGGGGTTTTCTGGGTAGCTTCGATGACTGAGGCAGCAGCATCCACCATGGAGGTGCTGGCATTGGGTCTTGGGCTCTTTTGCAATTTTGCTGACACCTCTCTGCGTGCTTGGATGATTACTAATACCTTCGATTTTATCTGTCATGACTTTGGCTCAGTATCTTTATGTGTGGTCCTGGAGAAAACAGAAGGTGTGCAGTTGCATGCTTGCACACACATAGGCAGTGACAGTAGGGCATCACAGAGACAGAGAGAGAGAGAGAGAGGATGACAGGGAGGAGGAGTGAGCACATGGGTGTGGGGAGAGAGAAAGAGACAGACAGGAGAAAACAGGTTGCTATGGGGAAGACCACACAGATTTTGGGGGACCAAGGTGGGGTCATGAGCACAGAAGCTGCAGCTGGGGTGTCCACTGTTCCTTCTATTTACTGTGTCTTATTTACACAGTAGTGTTCCTGGGCAGTGTGATTTTTGAACACATATTGGGAGTGTTCTGTTTTCTGCTCAGCCTAGACACGGTTTGGTAAGTTGTCCATGAGAATATATACTCCCAAGAAAGAAGTTGCAAATATTCTGGCTTATCCTTCTCTGACATGACACACAGGAGTCCGCAGAAGCATGCACAGCTCTATGTATTTTAAACAGCAGGCACCCTGTTAGGAGCTCTCCTGACATGGATCTGGGGCCCCCAGGGGCTGGACAGGTGCCTTAGGGGTGGCACCTGTCTCCATTCCTATGTGACCTATCTATACCTGAACTACAGTTGGCTGGCAGAGCGAGTAGGTCCTTGTGCTCATGCCTGCTGTCCCAGTGTCACCCTTTCTTCTATTTGGACAGGGGCAGGGGAGAGGACTCCTCCAAAAGTTGCCAAGAGGGTGCCGTCCACCATTTTGGAGCCAGATTGGACAGTCGTTGGCGTTTTTTCCTCAGCAAAAGGCGGAGGGAGTGGACCTGGGGGAAGGGCAGGCGTGCATTTGTGGTGCAACAGTGCCATCCAGAGGAAACTGTTTGGTGCTCCTGGGAAAGCAGGCCTGGGGTTTCCTGGGAAGGAGTGGCTTGGGAGTGCAATCTGGGGCTAGTAGGAACAGGGGATGGGACCCCGCAGAGAGATCAAAGCTATGAGGAGGCCTTGGGAAGAGTGGGCCATGGCGGGTTGGGCTGTGGAAGCACTAGGGACAGGCAGCAGGCGGGGTGGATGACCAGTCGCCTGTCGGACCTGTACAGGAAGTCCGGGCTGCGTAGCTGGTGGCAGCCATGTCTGGGTGGGACTAGTAGGAGCCTGTATTAGGGAACAAGGCCTCAAGGCTATGAGAAGCTTGTGTTCTTCTTCGTTGCCTGTTGTCATACTCACACTAAGGTGTCACTGAATGCATTCTTGCAGATAACTATTCTTACTGTTCCAAGTCTTATTGCCAAGTGAGCATTTGCATGAGTCTCTTCCTCATTTACCTTACCTAAATTTCACGAGAGCCTCAGGCAATGACCAGGAGCATCCTGTGTTTCCTGGTACCCTATATATCTCTGGGTCTCAACCTTGTGCTTGCTCAGGAAGGTTGCAATCAACAAGGTCTGGTGACCGCATGTAATTGTTATCGTGTTGGCTTCAGTCACGGTCTCTCATTCCTTTCCTAATTTTTTTGTCCCTGTTTATCTATCTACAATCCCCTTCGTTCTTGAGTTTCTCAGATCAGTCACCCAGATCAGTCAGACCTGCCAAGGCCAGAAATGATATGAAATACTCCTGGGCACACAGGGCTTTCTCATGGACCTTTATGACCTATGGCCTGCTACTGGAGAACCACTGTCGTGGTCATACTCTGTGCCAGTTCCCACCTGCCTGTATCTGTGCTACCTCTTCAACGCTAGCCCAAGGACACAGTAGGCCCAGAACTGCACTCCTTTTCTTTCATACCTACTGGATGATTTCTAAAAGTTATTGCTGGGTCTCCAGTACTTCGCACTCACTAGTTTCCTGAATTCATGTGCAGGCCATCCATATGCACTGAGCCTTTGGGACAACTGACCTATTTCTCTGTTGATGAACTGGTCAGGGTATGGACCTAGAGGATGTGATCACACCCCTACCAAAATCTGTGAGTGTGTTGGTCTTGTTACAATAAGTCTTACAGCGGTTGGTTGGGAGGACAAACCGAGGAGCACACGGAGAGTTGGAGAACCATAGTTTATTCACCAGGGGGCTCAGAGGAGCCTTGCCACCAAATTCTGAGCCCCATCTACTGGGTTTCTTCCACTTTTATTAGGTTAGGGTATTCCGAGTGGTGGGGTCTCAGGTGGCTGATGCAGTAGGTAATCATGACTGCTGAAGCCAGGTGATAGGTTAGTATTATGTTGATGAAGGTCTTCCTTATTAGACTCTGTGTGCTCCATTACCCCTGGCAGTACTCTGGGAAAGCCAGACCCAAAGAACATACTGCTCCGCATTTGTTACCCCAGGTATATTTAATTAGGCGAGAACCCGGTCACGCCACTGCAGGTCAGGGAACAGGGGACGTTTGGAATGTCCCCCAACTGTAATGCATGAGCAATACAGACCCGTGTCCTCCAGCTCCAGAGAACGGAGGCCATGTTTACTTGTAGAACCCTGGGGGATGCTGCTGCGCTTTGTACAATGGGAGAAGATGCATAGCATGCCATCCTGTGGGGCCTGTGATGCAGACTTTCTCTGACAGGAGCGAAAGGAATCAACCAGAACTTCAGGGGACCATGCACCGTGTTAGCATTTCTTATTTTGTTCTAGTACCCTGTAATGAGGATATCTATCCTTTCTACAAGAGACTGCCCATGACATTCTTGCACTGGCTCCTCCTCTTTACTTGAGTCGGCCTAGGTTTTCTAGATGGACCCTTAAGTCCCGATTTCCTGGCAGCTCTGACTGCCAGGAGTGTGTCCCACTTAATGCCACAATGTTTCCCCTGTACGGGCAGGAAAGATCCAACACTAAATTCCCTGTGGTAGTTTCCCACACAGGTTCCCAAACATGGCGGCCGTCAGTGACTGGACTCCAGGGACTCTGAAGCCTGGCAGGCCTGGCAGCCAAGGGCTCCTTGGTAGCCCAGCCTGACTCTTCCTCTCTCATAAAACCAGGGGTTTCCCAGTGGGGTCAGCAGGTGCAGCCCCAGAATTCGCCCATTTCCCCAAACTTACCCTTCCTCCTCTCAGAGGCCTCCTGTCAGTGTATACAGAGACTAGCTGGAAGCCATACTCAAAAAGATTCCTCTTGGTGGCAGTGTCGCTCCAGAAATGCCCACATTTTGTCCTCCCAGGCCCTCCCTCCACCCTTTATAGGTGAAAAAACACCAAATAAAGCTCAAAAGGGATTCAAGCCCTAAGAGTGGGGTTTATTCTTTTCAGGTGTGTGGAAGAAGGTGTCTCTTTTTTTCAGGCTCTAGGTGTGGAATATAAATGTGTGAAAATGTTCATCCAAAAGTGTAGATATATTGGTTTATGAATCAATACATCATCCCTTCATAAGCTTTGAGCCAGAATTTACTATAAGGAGGTACTCAGTTTTCTGGTCACACCTGTGGGTATTATAAGGTTCCCCTAATTAGGTGGCATGCTCCTTAAGGGAGTATAGACTCATAGTTGAACAATGGCTGAGTATCTAGGTTTCCTCTCTTAAGCTGCATTCTTTCCTCAGGGAGCCAGGACTAGCGGCAAGAAGCCAAGCCTAACACAATCCAGGAGCAAACTGCCTTAGGAGTATTCTAGAGAAGGAGTAGCAGGAGGCCACTGTGGGAGCAGCAGGAATTGACAGGGGCCATGTGAGGGGACAACACTAGAAGGTCGTAGCGCTGGGTCACCCACAGGGATTCAGGTAGTCACTCCCCATTGAGCAGCCCAGATTGGGGTTCCAAGGCTCATGTGGGGAACCCAGTGGTTCTACACATGTAGGAGGCCTCTATATGGGCCTTTGGTTCTGCAGCCCCTCGTGGCAAACTCTACATGGAATTGTGGCTGTGCTGTCCACTCACCCCACACATTCATTCACACAATCATTCATGCGTGCATACACACAAACTGTCTTCACTAAATAAGTGTATATTTTTCCCTTTTCCTTTTCTATATTCTTTCTCCCCATGACAACCTTGGGAATACCACTTTGGATATTGATTTCTCCCAGTTAAAGATGCAACCATTTCCATTATGTAATGTCCAAATTATGCCTTTGTCTTCTACTCTTGTTACCATCCCTCCCTAGAGCGAGAAGTAGATGCCAATTTTCTCCGGTGTGTGTTTGTATCTTGTGTCTTATGCATATGAATGAATGTGGAAGTTTGTCTGCTTTCATACTTCTCTCCAACGCCACCAGGCTGCTATGGAATAAAACACATGTGCTTTGGCCTTTGCACATGTGTGCAGAGTCAACATCCAGCCAGATCCTTTCTATTTCCCCTGTAACCACTGCCTGGGGTGATAGCAGCAGGATCGTTTGCTTACCATGTCTATTCATTTTGGACACTTGGGTTCTGTTTTCCTCATTCCCATCTTTTATTTGAAAGAGATCTGACCTTGTTGTCTGTTAAGTCCCATTTCCTGACCAGGTGAGGATGTGTGACTGAGAGGTACATGGAGTCTTCTCTGTGTCTTCCCAGAAACCAGCTGCTGAGTACAATGAGACGCAGCAGACTCCAAGAATGATTTGCCGTCATCCCTAGAAAGTCATTGTGGTGGATCTGTGTGCAGCCAGACTGCAGATACCTGCTTCTTGTTCCTTTTCTAGCCAGATGAGCTACCAGTCCTTCGAGGATGTGTTACTCCATTAATATGAGGTTAGGAAACAGCCTCAATTGCCTATTTTGACCTATACTTCTCCATAGTCTCAGTACAGACACCAGCAGAGAAGTCGTGTGAGGATAGACGCCCAATGTAGGCTGGTTGTAGTTGTCAATGAACAGAAAGCCAAGGGTAAAGTCTCCCTTATTTCAAGATATACAGTTCCAGGAGAGCTGCTGCTTTATTACAGCCCCAGATGACTTCATGCAATTGCCTTGAAATGAGTAGGGTTGACTTTTACTCTGTAATTTCTGTAGAATTCAAAGATGACCCTACAGAATTGTCTGTACCGATTCCATGTCCCCCTTTTTATTTGTAGCATCAAGGGAATAAGTGTCATTGGAGCCAACACAGTGTCCAAACTGGATGAAGGACAGGGCCACCTGCAGATACACAGCTAAAGGTAAGAGGTAGATGTGGCGAAGGCCACTTGAGAGAAGTCTTCCTGGGCAGTTTGCGTTTTTTGCATGTGTTTGGCGTATTCCCCTTTTTAATCAGTCCTGACACAGTAACAGTTAGATATCTAATAGAATACACACCCATTTATGGGGAAATAAATGCAAAAATTCTTCCTTGCCTTTTCCTTGTCCATGGCCAGCCTAACATATGCAAGTCCGCAGAAGCACACACACCTCTATGTGTTTATCACAGCCGGCATACAGGTAGGAGCTATCTGGAGATGGACCTAGAGCTGGCAGGAGGAGAACGGGTATCTTAGGGATGGTACCTGGCTCTGTTCCTCTCTGTCCTAGCCATGCCTGAACCACCTCAGACTGCCATAGTGAGAAGGGCCCTCTGTCCAGGGCTTAGAGTGTGTCCTGCCTCATTGCTCCCCGCCAGGTAACTCTGGGACACTGGTTCCCCTGGTCCTGATTTTCAAGGTGGCCTCGGACTGACCAGGGAAATTGCCCACATCAGAGTGTTTCCTGGTGGCAGGAGCTAGAGTTGGAGCCACCCTGTGCCCAGTGTGCATCTGGCCCTCACCCAGCCCCCAGTGGCCTATGGGTAGGTCGGGATTGCGTACATTCCAGTGCGTTTATAGAGGGACTTCAGGTGAACACTTCCCTTTTGGTCAGGAAGGCAGGTAACAGGGACCCTAGTGAGGCCAGGCTCAGGGCACTGGGAAGGCTCTTATTCCAAATGGCCAAGATGGTGCTACCCGCCATGTTAGAGCCAGATTGTACAGTGGTTGGTGTTTTTTCCTTACCCAAGGGCGGAGGGAGTGGACCTGGAAGAAAGGCAGGCCCGCATTTGTGGTGCAACAGTGCCATCCAGAGGAACTTGTTTGGCGCTCATGTGAAGCCAGGCCTAGGGGTTCCTGGGGAGGAGTGGCTTAGAAGTACAGTAGGGGTCCAGCAGGGAAGACGAATGGACCCCGGACAGGTTAGAGCTCTCTAGAGGCCTTGGAGAAGGGTGTCCCATGGCGTTGAAGCACAGGGGCAAGGCCCTAGGCAGCGGTGGACAGTCAGCCATCTGGCCGGCCTATACAGGAAGTCCCGGCTGGAGAGCCTGGTGGCGGCCATGTCTGGGCGGGACTCGGGGAAGCCTGCACTGGAGAGCCACAGTTTGGGGCTGTGGGAATGTGTCCTTTTGCTTCTTTGCCTTTTCCCATACTGAATCCAAGGTGTGAGTGCGTTCTTGCAGAGGCCTCCTCTTAGTGTTGGAAGATTCATTGCCCAGGGAGCAATCGTCAGAGCCTCTGCAGACTTCTCCTTTCTGTGCCAGGGTGCCCAAAATCCAGGGAACCTCAAGGCAATGCCCAAAAATATTCCCTGTTTTTTGCTTTCCTCTGCCTGTCCTGGTCTCATCTCTGAGGTTGCCGAGGTACTTGTAGTCAAGAATGTCCAGTGACACTGTGTAAATGCACTACCCTTGAGTTCAGTGAGAGTCTCTGGCTTCTTTCCACATCTTTTTTTCCTGCTGCTTTATCCCAGGCCCCTTCCTCCTGGTGTTTCCCAGATTCATCCCAATGAACCAGCCCTGCCAAAGCCAGAAACGATGTGCATAGTGCTGGGCACACAGGACTTACTCGCACACCTTTACTACCTATGGTTTGCTACTGGACAACCACTGCTGTAGGTCATGCTATTTGCCAGTTCCCACCTCCCTGCAGCTGTGCTACCTGTTCAGTGCTAGGCAACAATTTGGTAGGAAGCCTCAAGACCCAGCAATAGACTCCTTTTCTTTCATACCTACTGGATGGTTTCTAGAGACCATTCCTTGTGCTCCAGTATTTCACACTTTTGACCTTTCTGAATTTTTGATCAGGAGACTCAAGTGTGCAAAGCCTTTCAGGACAATTGACCTTTCTCTCCACCAATCCACTGGTCAGGATATGAACCTACAGGATCTGATCATGCCCCAATCCACAGCTGTGAGTGTGGCCGTCTCTGTGTGCTCCATTGGCCTGGGCTATCACTCTGGGACAGCCGGACCCACAGAACATAGACCTCCTCATGTGTGAAGGCATGTGCCTTTCATGAGGGTATCAACTGGCTCCTATCAGTGGAGGGGAGGGATCAGGGCAGCTCTGGAATGTCCCCCAAACTATAGTCCATGAGCAATGCAGACCCAAGTCACCCAACTGCAGGGCATGAGGGCCGACTTAGCCTGTGGATGCCCAGTGGGTGCCGCCACGCTCTGTACAACAGGAGATCCTGCACAGGATGGCATGGTGTGTGGTCTGTGACCCAGAGTTTCTTTGACAGGAGCGAGAGGAAATCACCCAAAATTGAACTGCCATGCACCTGTGCAACTTTTTCTTGCTCTGTTTTAGTACCCAGTACGCAGGGAATTGATCCTGTCCACAAAAGAGTGTCCCTGAATTTGTGGCTGAGTTGCCAAAAACTCAGCACTTGTCCACGATGCAGAATCAGAGGAACAAGAACAGGTCTTTCCAGTGATGGGGAAAGAGATTCATTTTCCTGCCAGTAAAAGGAGGAAAAAGGCAGGCTATCATCTCAAAATCCACATATTTGAAAACATAAGCAGAAATACAGAGCTTTTAATGGATGGTTTTCATTCACACCTAATGGGTGTGGTGTACAATGTCTTGGGTATCCACATGCCTAACGCTCTGATTTGGGCCAGGCAAAGGTAATATATGTAAATGTAAACATTTGAACCCCTGTAATATAAGGGGGAAAAAAAAGAATGGTTTTCTCAGCTTCAGGCAATTACTATAGTTAACTATGCTAATCCTCCCATCTATGCCAAAGATAAAGCCTTGATACTTTCCCTCAGCCCACCTGAGGGGGATAGCACCAGGTGGCAGTTATTACTTTTAGAAAAACACTTAACCCACCAGGCTGCAGTTCCCAAAAAGAGTGGGGAAAGGTTTAAAGACACACAAAAGCCTTTTTTTGTTTGTTTCCTGGCCACACCCTGTTACCTATTCACCATTCTCAATTTTACTCTTCCATATATACGGAGGAGGGTCCACTACTCTTTTATAGGTGCTGGCCCCTCCTCATTCCTTAACTGGGTCTAAGTTTTCCAAAGGGACCCGTAGGTCCAGATTTCCCAGTGGCCCCGACTGCCAGTAAAGTGTCCCTCTTAATGCCCTAATGTTGCCCCTGTACCAGCAGGAAAGATCCAGCAACAAATCCCCTGTGGTAGTTTCAGCCATAGGTTCCCAAACATGGCGGCCACGGAGGACTAGACTCCAGGGACTCCCAAGCCTGGCTGACTGGGCAGCCGAGGGCTCCTTGGTAGCCCAGCCTGACTCCTTCTCTCTCTCTCATTAAACCCTGAGTTACCCTGTGGGGTTCCCAGGTGGAGCCCCAGAATTCGACCATTTCCCCAAACTTATGCTTCCTCCTCTCAGAAGCCTCCCCATCAGTGTACACAGAAACTAGCTGGAAGCCATACTCAAATAGAATCCGCTTGGTGGCACTGTGGCTCCAGAAATGCCCACAATTTTTCCTCCCAGGCCTCTCCCTCCACCCTTTATAGGTGAAAAAACACCAAAGAATGCTCAAAGGGGATTCAAGCCCTAAGAGTGGGGTTTATTCTTCTCAGGTGTTGAGGAAAAAGGTGTGTCTTTTTTTCAGGCTCTAGTTGTGGAATATAAATGTCTGTGTGAAAATATTCATCCAAATGTGTAGAGGTATCCATTTATCCATCAATACATCAGCTCCTCATAAGCTTTGAGCCAGAATTTACTATAATGAGGTACACATTTTCTGGTCACACCTGTGGGTGTTATAAGATTCCTCCTGAGTAGGCGGGATGCTCCTAAGTGAATATTGACTCATATAGCCTGACATGGGCTGAGTATCTGGATTTCCCCTTTTAAGCTGCAGTCATTACCTGCATTCTGTCCTCAGGGAGCCAGGGCTGCTACCCCAAGGAGCCAAATAAGCACATTCCAGGAGCAAAATGCCTTAGGAGCAGTCTAGAGAATTAGTAGCAGTTGGGCACTGTGGAAGCAGTAGGAATTGACAGGGGCCGTGTGAGGGGACAAGACTCTAAGGATGTAGCCCTGAGTCACCTACCGGTACTCAGGTAGTCACTCCCCATTGAGTAGCCCAGAATGGGGTTCCAAGGCTCAGGAGGGGAAACCCGTTTTTCCACACATGTTGGTGACCTCAGAAAGGGCTTTGGTTCTGCAGTCGCTCATGGCAAACTCTACGTGGAAGTGTGGCTGTGCTGTCCACTCACCCCACACATTCATTCACACAATCATTCATGCGTGCATAAATGCAAACTGTCTTCCCGAAATATGTGTCCATTTTTCCCTTTTCCTTTTCTATATTCTTTATCCCATGACAATCTTGGGAATAACACTGTAGATAGAGATTTCTCCCAGTTAAAGAGACAGCCCTTTCCGTTGTGTGATGTCTAATCCCAAATTGTGCGTTTGTCTTCTAACCCTCTTACCATCCCTCCTAAAGTGAAAAGTAGATGTCAGTTTTCTCCTGTGTGTTTGCATCTCGTATCTTACGCATATGAATGAAAATGTGGAAGTTTATCTGCTTTCGGCATTCTCTCTGACCCCACCAGGCTGCTATGGAATAAAATATGCATCCCCTGGCCTTTGCACATGTGTGCAGAGTCAACATCCAGCCAGATCCTTTTCGTTTCCCCTGTAACAACTGCCTGGGGTAATAGCAGCAAGAACCTTTGCTTACCATGTGTCTTCATTTTGGACACTTGGTTTCTGTTTTCCTCATTCCAATCTTCTTTTATTTAAGAGGTCTGACCTTGTCTGGGTATTAAGTCCCAGTTCTGACAGGGTGAGGATGTGTGACTGACAGATACATGGAGTAGTGTCTCTGTCCACTCTGAAACCAGCTGCTGAGTACATTGAGATGCACAAGACTCCGAGAATGATTTGCCGTCATCCCTAGAAAGTCATTGTGGTGGATGTGTGCAGCCAGACTGCAGATACCTGCTTCCCAT